GAATTCTGAAAATATTTTTGTTTTCATACAGGTGAAAATGACTTACATTTTAGTTAATATCAGTGAATACTGAGGTCTTCTATATGAATTAATACTCTTATAGTGACAAGATGGTACCTTGCTGAATGTGGATGAGGTGGAGGTAATGGAGGGTCTGTTTTTAAAAGGCTCTTTCTGTACACTGAAGTGATTTTTAGGATACAGTGATCTTTTTGGATTATTTAGATTTATTTTATTTCTAGTTCCTTCAGACTCACAGTTCTATGATAAATTAGTCATGAGATGGTGTCAATGGGAAGTAACCAGTAAGTAAGCAGTATTACCTTTTTATATGGGTCATCCTGAGAGTTATTTTGTAGTCAAATTTCAGTGATCAGAATCCCGTTAAAATTGGTTTGTGGACTGCTTTGTTGAATGTGCCTTTTCCTATATGTTAATGATAAATCCATCACTGTTTTCTTCCCATCCCCCATAGTCTATCTGTACTTTTGAGATAAGATGGTAGATGGTGTTATGTATTGAAATTGGTAACCCTGGAAGGAAAGCAGATTTAGAGGGTCACCAGCTCCTTTTTGTATTGGTTATTTTTGAGAGGCATATGAGATAAGCAAGCGGGAATGTCAAATAGGCACTTGGATATATGGGTCAAGAGCTGAGGAGAGTAGTCTCAGTAAATGTGAGTCTTGTCACTAAATTAGCTGTCTGGAGTGAGATGAGGAGACCAAAGTCCATTTCCTGAGGATCTAAAATGTTTCAAGGATTTTGAAAAAGAACAAATAAATTGAGGTAAAACAAAATGAAAGTGTCATCATAGAAAACAAAAACTCAAATAAGAGAAAATGGTCCATTGCAGCATGCTGCAGCAAGATCAAGTAAGATAAGGACTGATGGATCTATTAGCAAAATAGACATTATTGATGACTTTATGTATTCTTCATTTGGTTTTTTAGAAGAAAGTCCTAGTCAAATAAACAGTGCTTGGTAATTTACTTCCTAATAATTTATTTTAAAATTTACATGTAGTGAAATTCACTCTTTTTTTCTTGCATGGTTCTGACATTAGACAAATGTATAGACTTGTGTAATCACCATCACAATCAAGATAGAAAATAGTCTCATCATCCTCCCTGCAAATTCCCATTGTTGCATCTTTGTAGTGCGCCCCTACCCCCTAGGCCTAACCTCTGGCAACTGCCAGTCTCTTCTCCATATTTTATAGTTTTACCTTTTACAGAATGTCACATAAATGGAATCATACAGTATGTAGACTTTTGAGGCTGTTTTTTTTCATTTAAGTACAATAATATATTTGAGATTTATCAATGTTGTTGAATGTATCAATAGATCATTCCTCTTCACTGCTGAGTGGTATAAACTTTCTTCTGCCCCTTCCTATGGAAACCAATGATATAAATTCTTTCACTATAGGTTTGAATTTTTCAGAGGGTCATATACTTGTTGTCATACATATTATTCCTTTGGGTTTAAATTTCTTCAGTTAGCAAAATGCATTTAAGATTTATCCATTTTGTCACAAGTATCCGTAGTTCTTTCCTTTTTATTGATGAATGGTTTTCTATTTCCCTACTTAACTTCTCTGTCCTTAGAAGGACATCTGGAATGTTTCCAGTTTCTAATAATTATGGACAAAGCTTCTATATGTATTCATGTATACTTTTTGTGTTACATAAATTTATGTTTACTTCACGTGAATATTCTTCCAGTGTTTTCTGACCTTCATGACTTATTGCAAGAAATCCGTAGTTATTTAATTTGATATATATGTAATATGTTGTTTTTCTCTTACTGATTTCAAAATTTTGCTTTTTTCCTTTTGTTTAGAATAGTTTATTAAGATATGTTTTGGAGTAGTTTTCTTCAATTATGTTCTTGCTGGTGTTCACTGAGCTTCTTGAAACTGTGAATTTATCTCTTTCACCAAATTTGGGGAATTCTCAACTACTTTTTCCTTTTTTTAAAGATTTTAATTATTTATTTTTAGACAGAGGAGAAGGGAGATAGAGAGGGAGAGAAATATCAGTATGTGGTTGCCTCTCACACACCCCCACTGGGGATCTGGCTTGCAACCCAGGCATGTGCCCTGACTGGGAATCGAACCAGTTACTCTTTTGTTCGCAGGGTCACACTCAATCCACTGAGCCACACCTGCCAGGGTGAAATTCTCAACCATTTTTTAAAAGAAGCTTTATTGAAACATAATTTATAGAAACATACAATTTGCCCATTTAAAATGGACAACATAATTGGTTTTAGTATATTGTCATATATGTACAGTCAACAGTACATTCAGTTTTAAAACATTTTTTATCACATCAAAAATAATCTTTTTACTTTTTAGCTCTCACTCACATCTATCCATCCCCCAGCCATAAGGAACCAATAATATATTTTCTGCCTCTCTAGAATTTCCTCTTCTCAACATTTTATATGAATGGAATTGCCATTATTTATGTATTTTTTTTCTGTACCACCCTTTTCTTTTTCTTGTATGTTAATGAGATTGATTTTAGATCTTTTGTTATTGTTCCACATGTCTCTGAGGCTTTATTGATTTGCTTTGGATAATTTTTCACTTTCTTGTTCATATTGGTTAATTTCTGTTGATCTGTCTTCAAGTTTACTATTGCAGTGGTACCTCGGTACTTGTTAATTCATTCTGGAACTTGAGATGAGTGCTGAGACCAATGAGTACTGAACAATGAAGCATTTTCTCTTGCCTCATGGCATGGTGACCGATACAAATTCTAGCCAAGTGCTATGAGTCCCGAGCAAGCACCAAGTGCTGAAACTTTTTTTTTTTTCATAAAAATGGTTTGACAAGTTCTGAAGCTGATGAGTAACAAGGTACGACTGTACTTCTGCCATCTCCATTTTTTATTGAGCTCATCCAGGATTTTGTAAATTTCATATATATAATTTTTAGTTCTACAATTACTTACATTTGATTCTTTTTATAGGTTCTGTTTCTCTGCTGATAACTTTATCATTTCATTTGAGTGTGTTTTTCACCCAAAAGAGCATATTTTTTATTTGCTTAAATCCTTGTTAGATACTTCAATATGGAGTTATTCTGTAATTGAAGCCTGTTGATTTTGAGTTTTGGTTTTGTTTTTCAGCAGAAAATCTACCTGGGTAGGTTGAGGCTTTCACGTTTTATCTCACCTTCTCTGGATGATGGTTCTCGTGTTAATTATGCTTTCAGAGTGTTTGTGTTAGTACCCTGCATGTGCCACTCAGTACATGTGCTAATTCAGTGGCTAGTCTGAGGCTTGAGCAGTGCTTGATATTGCAGTTCATTTTCCAAAACTTTGTTAGGTGCCTTTGGTTCTATTCCACAGTTTGTAGTTAACACCAGGACTCCTGTCTCTTCATAGAGAGAATTAGGGGATCTCCTACCATTCTATCCTCCCCATGATTTCTTCTATGGATTCTCCAGTTACCGTGAACCCTTTATCATTGTTCATCTGACCAGAAATGTGAGTTTCTCTCAGGGCCTTAGCCTTTCATGCTGTCACATAGCTCTGCCCTTTTGGGGCTACCCTTGGAGTGAAGTGAAGGAAAAAATGAAAAAAAAAATAACAGTGATTAACTCCATACTTTTCTTATCCTATGGGTCTCTTTTTCTGGTTCCTCTGACTACAGAGATATAGGTCTTATCTTGATTGGGGCTTGTTTTGGACCAGGACTGGGAGTCAAAAAAAAAAAAAGTGGGGAAAAATTGGGATTCTTATGTTCACCTGCTCAAAGTGCATCTTTTCTTGGTCCTCTGGTCAGAAAGTGCAATCTCTGTTTGAAAAAATTTTATGCCCATTGTAGAATGCCACAAATCAGTCTCTCTTTGGGTCAAAGTCAGGAAATAAAGGTGGAAAATAAACTTGAGCAACTCACTACAGTGCTGGTTATTCTTCAAATTTTGATCTCCCTCCATGAACTTCGTGTTATTAATTAATTTTCTGAGTACTCAGGTAGTTCATTTTGTATTTTGTCTAAATGTTTTAGTTTATAATCAGAGGAGGGATAGGCTTATTCCACCTCAGTTGTCACTAAAAGCTCTGTTTAGTTTTCTCTTTTTTATTTATTTATATTTTTTACTTTTCTGTGGGCTCATAAATAGGCATTGGTAAAATTCATTTGTTCAGACCATCTTTCTGTTGCTTAATTTTAAAACATCTTAGATCAGTGGTTGGTAGGCTTTTTCTGTAAAGAGCCAAATAGTAAATATTTTAGGCTTTTTAGGCATAGGGTCTCTGTCAACTGCTCAACTCTGCTGTTGCAGTGCGAAAGCAGCTATAGATAATATGGAAACAAATGGATATCTGCATTCCAGTAAAAATGTATTTACACAAACAGACAGTGGGCCACAGGTGGCCCATGGGCTAGAGCTTGTAGACCCTTGTTCTAAGTCCTCTGCACTTACTCTTTCCTGAAGGACTGCTTGAAGAGTAACTATTATTACCTACCGAGCTTTGTATGTTAGAATATTTTTTCCAAAGCCACTTACATTTTTCTCCTACAGTTCATTCTTCTGTAGAGTAACTCAGTATTTAATAGAACTGAATGAATGGAAGGGGATTCACAACAGTGTAATTATGTAAAACTCTTCCCATCCTAACTTGCTTTGAATATATCCCCACAATAGATTTTTCTCTGTGACAGTTTTCTCTCATCTCATAAATATTTGGTTGAGGACAGTCTTAATGAAAGTACACATGTCATATGTTCATTCATCACAGCAAAGCTCTAAATAATATGAAATGAAACATTTGGCTCTGAAATTCAATGATCCTCAAAGACAATCTGGAGTCTATATTAATAATGTCCCTTTTCTAAGTACCTTCTACATGTCCTTTGTCCTTTTGTGTTTCAGTAAGTGTGGATATTGTTAGATCATGAAGAGAAATGCCTAGGGTTATAGTTTCCTTAGTTATTACTCTTGTTCTAGTATTCTCGAACTTCAGTTTTTGAACAATATTTTGCAGGTAAATCATCTTAAAGTGGTTGATGAACCAATGGAAGAGGGAGGAGCAGATTCTTGCCAAGTAAGTACTCATGCTGCTTTATTAAACTACATTTTTAGAATCAAAGGAAAGAGAGTAATTGGAAAGCAGAAAATCTGTCAGTTAAAGGAATTTATTCAGGTACATAATGATAAGCAAATCCAATTATTAATAAAACAATAGGTCAAAATACAAGACAGATTTCTTGTCAGGCACTCTTACACATGAATTTCTAAAACAACTTTATTCAGATATCATTTTTATGCCATGAAATTCATCCATTTTAGTGTAATGGATGAAATTTTCACTTGCTAGTATATGAGTAACTGTATTACTTAGATACATAATCCTCTGAATTAAACTTTCACTCATACGTGGACTCTAAAACAAACAAAACAAATGAACAAACAAAACAAAACAGAAACAGATTCATATAAACAGAGATCAAACTGATGGTTGCCAGAGGGAGGAGGGTAGGGAGATGTGTTTGAAAAGGTGAAGGGGAATATAGTCAATAATATTGTGATAAATTTTCACTGTGACAGATGATTAGATTCAGTAGATGAGGTGATTGCATTGTAAGTTGAGTCACTATTTTGTACACCTGAAACTAAGACCAACTATACTTGAATAAAAGAAATGCAATGAAAATTGAAAAAAAATGAAATAACATTGTATTCAACTTTGGGGTAGAAAGGAGACATAACATGGACATACTTACAAAGATAACATGAGGTTATTTAAAATCAGTTTGCTTTCTTTCAAAAAGGATTACATCTAAATATTTTAGAAATTTCTAGCTAGTTTTAAAGAATGCTTAGCTATTAGGTTGTTCTATGTGAGGCCTATATACTAGTCTCTCATTTTACAAGATCTAGTTTTACAGAAGAGTGATGTTAAGATTTTAGGGAGGGTGTGGCTAACGTAGATATCTCTGTTTATGTTGTTATTTTATGATTTTCATTTCTGTAGATATTTTCATAGAATTACAGTTTTTTTAGGCTGTAAGTAACCTGAGATACAGTAGTTTAGTATCTTCATTGTATAGATAAATCTACTGAGAGCTGGACAGGTTGTGACTTACACTAGGTCATAAAACTAACAAGTAGCAGAATCAAAACTTATGATTCAGTGTGCCTCATGTTAGGTCAGCCATATATTGTGCAGATTCAAAGAAGTGGGAAATAAGGAAAGCACATTCCTTTTCTTATTTAGTTGTGGATAAAATCAACTTTGATGTCCCCTTCCACACAAAATTGGTTCATAAGTGAATTTCTCTCGGATAGGAACCAGCTGAGGGATTTAAATTAGGTTTGTCCAAGACTCTCCTTTGAAATGTGTTGTATAAAAATCAGCTGTCTCTGCAGATAGTGGTGATGTTAAAGTAATCTCAGTTCTTTTTTTCCACATGATTTTATTGTTGTTCAAGTACAGTTGTCTCCATTTTCCCCTTACCACTCCCCCCGACCTCAGCCACCCCCACTTCCCACCCTGGATCCTACCCGCTTCGGTTTTGTCCATGTGTCCTTTATACACGTTCCTGAAAACCTATCCCTCCTTCCCCCCATTATCCCCTCCCAACTCCCCTCTGGCAGCCATCAGTCTGTTCTCTGCATCTGAGTCTGGTTCTGTTTTGTTTAAGTTCATTTATATTGTTCTTTAGATTTCACATATAAGTGAAATGATATATTTGTTTTTCTCAGACTGAGTTATTTCACCTAGCATATTTAAAGGATGGGATATGTTGATTTTAATTAGGAGAAGAGGCATTGGGCAAACATTTTTATTTGGAAGACTTGCTTAGATTCAGTGAAATTAACTGAAATAGAGTACAGCTGTTTCATAACTGTGAACAATTTTTTTAAAAGTGGTGATCCAGGTTTATAATGATCTTCAACACTGCTGAAACTGAAGTGCCTTCTTAAACGTAAAAATACTGTATTGCGCTCAATATAGAATCGCATACTTGGAGGGGACCTTAAAGATCCATCCAACATAACCAGTTTGTTATGTGCGAGCACTGAAGTGGGGTAATTTCTGACTTGGTGAAGGCTGCTTCACTTACACATGGCAGAGGTAGGAACAAAATTAATAAAGTCTGTCGACTCTTCCAGCAGTGTTCTTTTGGCTAGAGAAAACTTCCAAACAGTAAGTTTTTGTTATGTTACATTTTTTGAAAACTACATTCATGATATGTGATAAAAACTCAGTTAACTATAATATTAATAAAAGTATACACTCCGATGTTTCTTTGGGTACACCTATATTGCAAGGGTTTATACAGATATGCTATACTTTAAAATAATCCAAAATGTCAGCTACAAAGCATATGTATTTCCATTTAAAAAAGTTCTTTTAAACTTTTTATTAAATTTATTGGGGTGACAGTGGTTAATAAGATTATATAAATTTCAAGTGTATATTTCTGTGATATTTGATCTTCGTATTGCACTGTGTGCCCACTATCCAAAGTCAAATCATCTTCTGTCACCATATGTTTCACCCTCTTTACCCTTTAGTACCTGCCAAGCCCCTTCCCTCTGGTAACCACCATGCTGTTGTCTGTGTCTATGAGTTTTTGTTTGTTTTTCTTGTTTGTTCATTTGTTGCTTTCAGTTTTATATCCCACATAGGAGTGAAATCATATGGCTTGTAACTTTTTCTTTCTGACTTATTTTGCTTGGTATAATCTCAAGATATATCCATGCTATTGTAAATGGCAGTATTTTAGCCTTTCTTATGGCTGAGTAGTATTCCACTGTATACATGTACTACATCTTTATCCAATCATCTATCAAAGGACACTTTGGTTTTTTCATGTTTTGGCCTCTGTGAATAATGCTGCAATGCACATAGGGGTGCATACATCCTTGCAAATAAGTGATTTCAAATTTTTTCGTGTAGCTACCCAGAAGACGGGTTGCTGGGTCATACGGTAACTCTGTTCTTAAGTTTTTGAGGAACCTCCATGTTGTTTTCCATAGTGTCTGTACCAGTCTATTCCTACCAACAGTGAATGAGGGTACCTTCTTTGTAATTTATTACTTCAGAGCTTATATTTAGGTCTTTGCTCCATTTTGAATTAATTTTTACATATGGGAACAAACTATAATCTAGTTTCATTCTTTTGCTTGTGGCTTTCTGATTTTCCCAGCACCATTTATTGAAGAGGCTTGCTTTTCTCCATTATGTATTTTTGACTCTTTGTTGAAAAATTATTTGTTCACTTGTATGTGGGTTTATTTCTTGGTTCTCAATTCTGTTCTGTGGTCTGTGTGATTGTTTTCCTGTCAATAACATGCTGTTTGATTTTTGTTGCTTTGTAGTATAATTTGAAGTCAGTGTGATACCTCCAGTCTCATTCTTTTTTTCTCAGGATTGCTTTAGCAATTTGGGGTCCTTTGTAGTTCCATACAAATCTGATGATTTTTGTTCTGTTTCTTTAATACGCATCATCGCAATTTTGATGGGATTGCATCAAGTCTGTATACTGCTTTGGGTAATATGGATATTTTAACTATGTTGATTCTTCCAATTCAAGTACACAAAATATCTTTCCATTTCATTGTGTTTTTTTAATCTTGTAATAATGCTTTGTAGTTTTCAGTATGTAGGTCCTTCACATCCTTTGCTAATTTTCTTTCTAGGCATTTTATTCTTTTTATTCAATTACAGAAGGAATTGCTTTTTTAATTCTTACTCTGAAATTTCTTCGCTAGTATATAATAATGTAGTGCATTTTTGTACATTGATTTTGTATTCTGCAACTATACTGCATTTGTGAATTGTTTCTAACAGCTTCTTTGGTGGATTCTTTAGCATTTTCTATATACAGAATCATGTAGTCTGCCAAGAGTGACACTTTTACTTCTTAATTTTTAATTTGGATGCCTTTTATTTCTTTCGCTTGCCTAATTGCTCTGGCTAGGATTCCCAGCACTATGTTGAATAAGAGGTGAGAGTGGGTATCCTTGTCTTATTCCTTACCTTAGAGGAAAAGCTTTCAGTTACACGCTATTGAGTATGATACTGTCTGTTTTTCATGTATGGCCTTTATTATGTTCAGATACTTCTCTTCTGTACCAATTATACTGAGTGTTTAATCATAAATGGATGTTGTATCTTACCAAATACTTTTACTGCACCTAATGATATGATCATCTTGTTTTTCTCATTATTCTATTAAAGCGGCCTGTTACACTGATCTAATTGCATATGTTGAACCATACTTTTGCCCTAGGAATGAACCTCACTTGATCATGATGTATTCATTTTTTAGTGTATTATTGTATGTGATTTGCTAGTATTTTGTTTAGAACTTTTGCATCTGTATTCATAAGAAGATATTGGTCTGTTGCTTTCATTTTGTGTGTATGTGTGTGTTATCCTTTCTAGGTTATGGTATCAGGGTTGAGTTGACCTCATTATATGTGTTAGGAAGTATTGCCTCTTCTTCAGTTTATTGGGAGAGTTTGAGAAGGATAAGTGTCTAATCTTCTTTGAATGTTTTATAGAATTCACTAGTGAAGCCATCTGGTCATGGACTTTAACTTTTTAGGAGGTTTTGATGGTTGTTCCAATTTCCTCACTGTTGATCAGTCTATTTAGATTTTCTAATTCGTCATGATTCAGTCTAGGAAGGATATATATTTCTAGGAACTTACGTATTTCTTCTAGTTTATTGAATTTGGTGACATATAGTCTTTCATAGTATTCTAGCATGAATCTTTGTATGTCTGTGATATCTGTGATAACTGCTCCTCTTTAATTTCTGATTATTTATATGAACCTTTTCTCTCTTTTTTTTTAAGTGAGTCTCACCAGGGGTTTGTCAAATATATTAATCTTTTCAAAGAACTTGTTCTCTGTTTTATTAATTTTTGTATAGTCTTTTTGTTCTTTATTTCATTTAATTCTACTCCAATTTTTATTATTTCCTTTCTTCTACTGACTTTGGGCTTCTTTTGTTTTTCTTTTCTAGTTCATTAAGATAGAGTGCTAGTTCGTTTACTTGAGATTTTTCTTGTTTCTGGAGATAGGCCTGTAGTGATAAAAACTGTCTTATTACTGCTTTTGCTACATCCCTAAACGTTTGGTATGTGTGTTGTTATTCTCAGTCATCTCTATAAAGAAGAAAGTAACCTATAAAGGAAAGGCCACTAGATTATCATCAGTCTTCTCAGCAGAAGCCCTGCAAGCCAGAACAGAGTGGAACCAAATATTCAAACTAGTAAAAGAGAGAAATTACCAGCCAAGAATAGTATATCCAGAAAGATATTCTTTGGCTATGAGGGAGAAATAAAGACTTTTCCAGACATACAGAAGCTGAGGGAATTTATCACCAGATGTTCTCCACTGCAGGAAATACTCAAGGGAGGTTATTCTATCTGAAAAAAAAGACCAAAATGTCACAAAAATACAAGTAAGATCACCCAAAATCTCACAGTGTAAAAAGGAATAAGGTATGACAACAAAAATATAAAAGGGACAGAAGTAAGGGTCTGAATTTGCAAAGGAGGATGGAGATGAGATGCATTCAAAAGTAAGAGGATTACTATATATATATGAAACTCTTTTTCATAAACCTAATTGTAACTGCACACACACACACACACACAAAAACAAAATTGAGACACATAAGTTTTAAAAAAAGAGAGGAAATGGGGAAAATATGGAATACCACCAAACAAAAGCAACAGACAGAAACAATAAAAAGAACCGATGGAGGCACAGAGCTATCAGAAAATATAAGATAAAATGGCTGTAGGAAATCCTCATACATCAATAATCACCCTAAATGTAAATGGATTGAATTCACTGGTGAAAAAGACACAGAGTAACAGACTGGATCAGAAAACAAAACCCAACCATATGCTGCCTTCAGGAGACACATCTGAGCTGAAAAGACAAATATAGACTCAAAGTAAAAGGGTAGAAAATGATTCTACAAGCAAATGGCATCTACAGAAATGTAGGTGTAGCCATACTTACATCTGACAAAATGAATTTCAAGATAACAAAGGTAACAGGACACAAAGATGGGCATTTTATAATAATAAAGGGGACAGTACATTAAAAAAATGACACTTTTTAATATATATGCATCTAATCAGGGAGCACTGAAATATGTGAAGCAACTACTAACAGAACTAAATGGAGAAACTAATTAAAACTCAGTCATTTGGGGGGACCTAAATACTCCATTGATAGCTATAGATAGATCATTCAGACATAGAATCAATGAAGAAATATTGACCTTTAATGACACATTAGGCCAAGTGGACATAATTGACATTTACATTGCCTTTATTCCAGAATATCAGATTACACATTCTTTTCCAGTGTACATGGAACATTCTCCAGGATAGACCATATGTTGGGTCACAAAACTAGTTTCAAAATTTAAGAAGGGTATTAAAAATGTTCAATGTCACTAGCCATCAGAGAAATAAAAATTAAAACCACAATGAGGTATCATCTCATACATGTCAGAATGGCTGTCATCAATAAATCAACAAACAAGTGCTAGCAAGGTTATGTACAAAAGGGAACCCTCGTGCACTGCTGGTAGGAATGCAAACTGGTGCAGCTGCCATGGAAGCAGTATGGATTTTCCTCAAAAAACTAAAAATGGAATTGCTATTTGACACAGTTATCCCACTTCTGGAAATATACCCTAAAAATCGCACAACACCAATCAGAAAGAATATATGCACGCCTATGTTCATAGCAGCATTATCTGTTAATAGCCAAGATCTGGAAACAACCCAAGTGCCCATCAGTGGATGAGTGGATAAAAAATCCATGGTCCATTTACATAATGGAATACTACACAGTTGTAAAAAAGAAAGAACTCTTATACTTTGCAACAGCATGAATGGACCTGGAGATTATTATGCTAAGCAAAATAAGCCAGTCAAAGAAAGACAAGTACTATATGATTTCACTTATATGTGGAATATAATAAACAAAATAAACTCAGACAGGTGAGGGGTGGGGGGACTGGAAGAGATTAACCATAGAACATATGCGTATATGCATAGCCCATGGACACAGTCAACGATGAGGTAAAGGCCACAGGGAAAGCAGGGACTGGGTGGAGGGGGTCAAAGTTTGAGAAAATGGGGGACATCTGTAATAGTGTGAACAATAAAATAAAAGAAGTTTGAAATCATGCCAAGCATATTTTCTGGACACAATGCTTTGTAATTAGAAATGAACAGCAAAGAGAAGTAACACCCCCTCCCCACAGATACGTGGAGATTAAACAACATACTACTAAAAAATGACTGGGTCAAAGAAGAAATAAAATAAAATCATAAAAAGTTCTTGACTTTAAAAAAGGTGAAAATCAGTCTCATAGCTACTTAAAAGGGTCCTGTGAAATGCTATATTGACATATAAAAACATGCACAGTTATTGTTTTAGAGTTGATTCTCCATATCTGACTGATTAGTGGTCCCTATTAAGTAAAGATAACATTTCTCTGCCTAGATACCCCTCTTGAGAGAGTGAATGTCTGACTACCTGTGTAACATGGAAGTTATTTTAGGTGTCATGAGGCCTAGCTTACTTGGGACTATGCTCTTGCTCACTTTGGCCAGAGTCACCATTGGTTAGTCCGTTAAAAAAAGGGTAAATTTATTGAGAACATTCTTGCCATCCAGCCCACAATGATATGGCACAGGGTATGGCAAAAGTAGGTTTACAGTTTTGCTTACATGAACCACAGACTTTACTCTTGTCTTATTTTTTATTAATTATTGTGTCATTTTTCATATGAATGAGTGTGAACCCACTTTTGCAACATCCTGTATAATGGAAAGCTATCAAGACTTCTAGGCATTGTGGTAAACTAGTCATGTGAACTTAAAACTCTAGATATCAGTTTTCTCCTCTGTACAGTGAGAAGGTTGGATAATCTGTCTCAGCTCTTATTTTGTGATATGTAATACAGGTGAAGTCTTTTTTTATCCTAGCTGTTGTGCTTCTCTCGTGACAAGCATTGCACCTTGCTTGAGTGTAGTCTTCACAGAGGAGTAGAGTGCTGCACATCCAAGGGAAGAAACATGCACTGGGTGGTTTCCTTTCTGCCTCAACCAAGTATTAGGAAATCTGGCACATAGCTTATATACAATGTTTTAATAAAAATAGGGTTGTTTGGGCTTTGCAGATTGTGTGTCTGTCAGGTTTTTTTCAATGATGTGGCTAACTGGACATTTAAATATTTGTATATCACTTAAAAGGGTTTAGAGAATACTATTTAAAAGAAATCTCGAGGTTCACACTTACTTGCCATGCTCTACAGTTTACAAAGTTTTATTTATCTTTTGACTTTCTCTGCATCCACCTCATAAGTTACATTGAAGTGAGGATCTTATGACTCTTCGTTCTTTATGTTTTTTTTTAATAACTCATTGGAAAGCAAGGCTGAAGCATAGATTTTATTTCCTTTTATTTGCATGAAATTATAAAATAAGGATGTTGGTGGTAATATATGTTTGTTAGGAAACAGGGAAGTGGGGATAACAGTGGCCTGTAAAACTCTGTGCTAGATTGAAGGAATTGGATAATAAATTATGTATTTCCAGTATGTTTTCTGTCTCTAAGCTTATCATAAACTGCAACTGGGTATGAGTATTCTTTGGATTTTATTTTTACAGGATGAAGGAGTTGTTAAAGAAATTCCCATTACTCATCATGTTAAGGAAGGATATGAGAAAGCAGACCCTGCACAGTTTGACTTGCTCAAGGTTCTTGGTCAGGGATCCTTTGGAAAGGTAATGAATGCTTTTTTCCACATTTGTTTCTCTTCTAAACACAAAGCAAAAAAGTGTACACATAGATAGAAATCTGTTAATTGTGCAGTTTCTATACTTATCAAAGGATATGCACAGATAACTTCCCAATTTTACTCATTTTATTTCTATTGTATTTTTGGTCCCATTTATTTATACTTCTTTATAACAATCAAAGTTTTCCAATCCCTTGAGCTCATGTATCTCTCTAGAACAAAATATAGCAGACTATTTATTAGCTGTCTAAATCAAGGTAGTTTGGTTTTGGTAAAAAAAAAAAAAGTTGTTTCCCTGTTCACATGCTAACATGATCATAGCTTGTTCTCTCCTGGTGATTTCATCTATGTTCCTTAGCTCTATCACAGAAGTTAGAATGTATGTATCAATTCATGTATAAATTCATGAATTCATCTATCATCTGCTAGAGCAGTATGTGTATAAAGTATAGCAAGGGTAGGTACTGAGTAATAATTACTATGTGAACCTCCTTCCTTTCAAAACGCTTAAATTTCATGGGAGAAAGCAAAATTGAGAAACATTATCTGTGACACTCGTTATTAAAATTGTTTATTAAGTGCTCAATGGCATGCAATTTTTGCAAAAGAATAATGTAGGTCTGCTTCCTGACTTTTGTGTACCTAACATCTAATACACGAAAATCATTACACACACACACAGTAACAGCCTTTAGGAAAATGTCAACAAAAACAATTTTTTAAATTATTTATTTTTATTGTTTATGCTCTTACAGTTGTTCCTGCTTTTTCTGCCTTTCCCCACCTCCAGCCAGCCCCACTCTCTCTCTTCCCTAAGTCAATCCCCATATTGTTGTCCATGTCCACATAACAACAGCAATTTAAGGGAAAAAGAGGAGAAACTACTGATTCTATGGTGGCTGAGATTTCATTTCAAAGGAAAAGAGTAAACCAGTGGAGTAGTGATTTATTATGCCCTGAAACATTTTAAGAGAAAGATACTTATTGAATACCCCATGCATGCCAAACAGTTGCTAAAGCAGTGTTGGTAAATTTAAAATAGACATTAATCGTCTTAAAGTAGCCCAATGTCTATATGGTATTGATATAACAGCTAAAGTAGAGAGAAAATTTTCCAGGACACAAAAAGGACAAATTAAAGTGGATTATAGTTCAACAATGAATTGGTACAGGAGACACAGGAAGACAAGGAGATAGGACTTGAATAGTTATCCTGGGGAGACTATAACTAGAAGGAGCTTTTAAAAGATTGTGTGTGTTGGGGATGTTTATAGAATTGACCTGTAGAGTAGGTGTGTGCATTCTGCACACCTTTACTTTAAAAAGGTTTTAAAAATGTAATACTCATTTAACTATTTACATTATATTTCTGTAATATTAATTTTAGACTATAGATGAAGTTCTTTCTTATCCCAAATGTATATGTGCTTAAATACCAACTTAAATAAGATCATACCAGGCAAATATTTCAAGCCACTAAAAGTAATTGTATATATTTATTTACATGTATATTTATTTATATCCAGCTTTGTTTCTGAAAGCATTTAACACTTTTATAGATGAATGGTAAATAAAATAAAATAACTGGAGAAGATGATGGAAGCAGGAAAACTAGACCAGGAAAGATTAGATGAAGCCAGAAATACACTCTGTTGTTCACAAATGCATGGCCTAGAAGTAGGACAAAAATGAAGATTTAAAATTTCTGGCAGCCATTATAAAGAAACTGATGTTTAACTGTATGATTATTTGACAGTACCTTCAATGTACAAGGAGATGAAACAGACCAGAGAAGTTTTTCTCATGGGTCTTCTTTATAAGGAGAATACAGTATAATATAATGAAATGTGTTCAATAACATTTTCACTTTAAATATAGCAACATTCTGACAAGTTGTCAATGTAGTCCTTAAATTCAGGAAACACTCAGCTTTGTCTGTGCTTTAACAAGTATATCATAGAAGCCTTTGTAAAATCCGAAATACTAAAGTACAGAATAGTGATCTTTATGCAATTCATCAACCAAAGAAATATTAAGAAAGTAGCTTTTTTTCTTCCCAGCATGTGAACATGCTCGCTTGTCAGTATTACATCATTTGTGTAGGCATTGTGTGGGTGTGACTTGTTATATGCTGAACCTATTTAGGAATTTGGCCAAGGCTGTGAATCAGAAAGGTGTAGGAGCAATTCCAAGAAATTTTGGGCTGCAGCCTTATTTAACTTTTTATGCAAAAGTTCATTGTTAAAACACAATAAAAGGAATTTTAGCCTATATAAAGCCTTGAAGCATTAAGTATCTTTATAGTCCATTTAATAGGGGAAAATTCTAATCATTTGTAAAATTGTACTTTAAGGAAGCATGCATTATCATCATGAAAGATGAATATAAAATTCTGTACTAAATGCATTAAGTATAATGCTATTATCATTTATGTTGTATGGACTGAAATGTAGTGTATCAAACTACTTACATTAATTATTTTAAAACAATCACAAATAGGGATGCTTCATCAATAAAAAGCTTGTATGCATGGCTAAAGAAAACATCAGCAAAATGAAAAGGGAACCAACTGTATGGAAAATATATTTGCAAATTATACCTTGGACATGGGTTTGATCTCCAAATATGTAAAGAACTCACACAATTCCACTCCAGAAAGACAAACAACCCAATTACAAAATGGGCAAAGGACCAGAACAGACACTTCTCCAAGGAGGACATACAGAGGGCCCAGAAACATATGAAAGGATGCTCAGCATCCCTGGCCATCAGAGAGATGCAAATTCAAACCACAATGAGATACCACTTCACAGTAGTGAGAATGGCCATCATAAACAAATCAACAAACAAGTGCTGTCAGGGTTATGGAGAAAAGGGAACCCTAGTGCACTGTTGGTGGGAATGCAGTCTGGTGCAGCCTCTGTGGAAAACAGTGTGGCACTTCTTCAAAAACTAAAGATGGAACTGCCTTTTGACCCAGCAATGCCCCTGCTGGGATTATACCCTAAGAATTCTGAAACACCAATCCAAAAGAACCTAAAACACAATGAAATAAAACACATTAATACCTGTTTGAAACTGGAACACTAGCCTTCCTTGTATTTCATATGCTAAGGCATATGTAGACAAAGCATACATTTTAACATCCTTGGATTATGCAATATTTTGGCTTTCGCAATAGTAAAAACTTTAAGTACAGGACTTAAAATGAATTTCTGAGAATACTAAACCCTTCTCCTGTTAAGTAATTGATTCATTATAAAAAAACTAGCTGAAAAAACATGCTTATATCTTAAAATTTCTTGTAGTTGGTATTTTGTCTTTAATCATTGTTAAAGCTGGGTGTTTTTTTGATTGTCTTCCACAAACACTGAGTAATTGTTAATGGAAAATATAAAAGTCGACTTCCAGACAAGATGGAGCAGTAGGTAGACACACTTTGCCTCCTCACACAACCAAAAGAAGGACAACGACCAATTTAAAAATAAAAAACAACCAGAACTGCCAGAAAATCGAACTGTATAGAAGTCTCACAACCAAGGAGTTAAAGAAGAAACATCGGTCCAGACTGGTAGGAGGGGTAGAGATAGGCAGCCAGGGCAGAGAGGACTCATGGCAAGGCAGCAGATGGAGGACTGGGCAAAGCTGAAGCTGGTGCAGCTGGCATTCCCACATTTGCGTGCAGATAAACCAGGAGGAACAACTGGGGATAAAAACAGACCACGAAACCCAGCGTTCTAGCACAGGGACATAAAGCCTCAAAACCTCTGACTAAAAAAACCTGTGGGGGTTCCAGCAGCAGGAGAAACTCCCAGCCTCACAGGAGAGTTCTTTGGAGAGACCCACAGGGTCCTAGAATGTACACAAAACCACCCATCTGGGAGTCATCACCAGAAGGGCCCAATTTGCTTGTGGGTAGCAGAGGAAGTGACTCAAAGTCAGCTGAGAGCTGAGCAAGTGGCATTGTTCCCTCTCAGACCCCTCCCCCACATACAGCATCACAAAGCAGCCATGTGGGTTGCCCTGCCCTGGTGAACACCTAAGGCTTTGGCCCTTACTATGCAACAGATACGCTGAGGAAAAAAAAAATGGCCCAAATGAAAGAACGGATCAAAGCTCCAGAATAAATACAACTAAGCGATGAAGAGACAGCCGACCTATCAGATGCACAGTTCAAAACACTGGTAATCAGGATGCTGACAAATGGTTTTGTATAGTCACAAAGTAGAGGAAAAACTGAAGGCTATGAAAAGTGAAATAAAGGCAAATGTACAGCTAAACAACAGTAAAGGGAATGAAACTGCGACTCAAATAAACAGTTTGGACCAGAAGGAAGAAATAAACATCCAACCAGAACAGAATGAAGAAACAAGAATTCAAAAAACATCAGGAGAGGCTTAGGAACCTCCAAGACAACTTTAAACATTCCAACATCTGAATCATAGGGGTGCCAGAAGGAGAAGAGGAAGAGCAACAAGTGTAAAAGTTATTTGAACAAATAATGAAGGGAAGCTTCCCCAATCTGGCAAAGGAAAGAGACTTCCAGGAAATCCAGGAAGCCCAGGGAGTCCCAAAGAAGTTGGACCCAAGGAAGCACACAGCAAAGCACATCGTAATTACTTACCCAAGATTAAAGAGAAGGAAAGAATCTTAAAAGCAGCAAGGGAAAAGGAGAGAGTTATGTGCAAAGGAGTTCCCATAGGACTGTCAGCTGATTTCTCAAAAGAAACCTTGCAGGCAAGAAGGGACCAGAAAGAAGTATTTGAAGTCATGAAAGGCAAGGACCTACATGCAAGATGACTCTATCCAGCAGAGCTATCATTTAGAATGGAAGGGCAGATCAAGTGCTTCCCAGACAAGATAAAGTTAGAGTTCATTATTACCATGTCCTTATATATGAAATGTTAAAGAGACTTATCTAAGAAAAAGATAAAAAATATGAACAGTAACATGACAACAAACTCACAACTATCAACAGCTGAATGTAAAAACAAAAGTGAAGCCCTGGCTGGCGTAGCTCAGTGGATTGAGCGCGGGCTGCGAACCAAAGTGTCGCAGGTTCGATTCCCAGTCAGGGTCCATGACTGGGTTGCAGGCCATGACCCCCAGCAACCGCACATTGATGTTTCTCTCTCTCTCTCTCTCTCTCTCTCTCTCTCTCTCTCTCTCTCTCTCTCTCTCTCTCTCCCCCTTCCATCTCTAAAAATAAATAAAATCTTTAAAAACAAAAAACCCCCCACAAAAGTGAACTAAGCAAACAACGAGAACAGGAACAGAATCACAGGAATGGAGATCACATGGAGGGTTATCAGCTGGGATGGGAGGGAAGGGGGATGGGGGAAAAGGTACAGGAAAAAAGTAGCATAATTGGTAGGTACAAAGTAGATGGGAGGGAGTTAAGAATAGTGTTGGAAAAGTATGTCGAGCAGCCAAAAAACTTATATGTGCAACCCATGGACATGAACTAAGGGGGGAATGTGGGTGGAAGGGAGTGTGCAGGGCAGATTGGAATAAAGGGGAGGGGGAACAGGGCAACTGTAATAGCATAATCAATAAAATATATTTAAAATAAAGAAAATATAAAAGTCTATATCATCAAGAGAAATGTATATTGGAATAACTCACTTATTTCTGTTGTGGACAGTTTCCAATAATTGGATTAGAATGAATGAAAATAAACCTCTCTGATCAGGATAGATATGTTTTTATATACAGTAATTTGAAGCCATGCAACTTCTGTAGTTGATCATCAGGAAAAGAGCTGAGTAACATGTGTTTTTTTTTTGCTAGGAAAGTTCACCCTTAATACCTCAAAAGAACAAATCCTGTGATGAACAAATAAACAGTTACTTCTCTAGTCTGTGAATGATGGCAACATATGAATAGAACTTGCTAGATTTGGAGCCCTGGCTGGTGTGGCTCAGTTGGCTGGAGCATTGCCCCATAAACTGAAAAGCTGAGAGTTCAGTTCCCAGTTAAGGTGCCTACGAGAAGCAACCAGTCAACATTTCTTTCTCCCATTGAAGTTTCTTTATCTCCCTCTGTATCTCCTTCCCCCCACTTCCTTTCTCTCTAAAATCAATAATCATGTCCTCACGTGGGGATTTAAAAAAGAAGTTGCTAGAGTTGGGGAGACATGTTGAAGCAGTGAACAGCTTATACCAATTATTTTTTTAAAAGATTTTATTCATCCATTTCTAGAGAGGGGAGGGAGGGAGGGAGGGGGAGAGAGAGAGAGAGAGAGAGAGAGAGAGAGAGAGAGAAATATCAATGTGCGGTTGCTGGGGGTTATGGCCTGCAACCCAGGAATGTACCCTGGCTGGGAATCGAACCTGGGACACTTTGGTTCCCAGCCCACGCTCAATCCACTGAGCTACGCCAGCCAGGGCATACCAATTATTTTTAAAACCCCATTTTACTGATAACTCTTATAAAACCGCAGTCTATTCATATTTTTCTTTATAACAGGCTTTTAAAAACTTAACTTTCCATGAGTCATAATATTATTTAAGCTTGATTGGTAACTTTAAAGAGTTTAACTTTCATTTGTTTATTGAGCTAATTTGTCATCATGATTCTTTTAAAAAATATTTATTTATTTTTAGAGAGGGGAAGGGAGGGAGAAAGAGAGGGAGAGAAACATCTATGTGTGGTTGCCTCTTGTGTGTCCCCTACTGGCCTGCAAGCCAGGCATGTGCCCTGACTGGGAATCGAACCAGTGACTCTGTGGTTCACCGGCCAGTGCTCAATCCACTGAGTTATACCAGCCAGGGCTCATCATGATTCTTTTTACCAAGCAGATACATAAGAATTGTACCTGATTTATTATTAGAAATTAACATGCCTGGTGACTTCTAGAATGGACCAATAAGGAAGTAGAAATGATGATATCAAATTAACAGGCACTACAATGGTTTCTCTGTATTAAGTTAACAAAACGGAGCTCCTTTAGCTTGAATTAATTTTTATGTTATTTATCTTTTACATCAAAAACTTCTCATAGTCCATACCATATCACCTATTTAATTTTTTTATAATAGTATGTATGAAAGTGTGGTTTAATAAATGAATAAAAATGAGAAAGTATTAACAGTATATAATTTATAGGGAAAGGTACATATCTTTATGAAATTAAAAATATAAGGACATATGTATGTGTTAATATATGTACAGCAAAAATGACTTGAAAGTAAATTTTACTTTTTAAAAATTCTCCTATTAGGTTTTTCTTGTTAGAAAGAAGACTGGTCCTGATGCTGGGCAGCTTTATGCAATGAAGGTGTTAAAAAAAGCTTCTTTAAAAGGTAGAAAATTGGAAAGCTTATTAAAATAAAATTTGGTAAAACTTGTTTTAAGAAATATACTGTGTATTGCTTGCGCAGGTTCAGTAGATTTAGTTTTCTTTTTTCTTTTTTAAATTAAGTTTATTGGGGTGGCATTGGTTAATAAAATTGTATAGGTTTCAAGTGTACAGTTCTGTGAGATGTCACCCAAAGTCAGATCTTCTTCCATCATTATATATTTGAGCCCTTTACTCTTTACTACCCTTCTACCTGCTTCCCTCTGGTAGCCACCATACTGTTGTCTGTGTCTATGAGTTTTTGTTTGCTTTTCTTCTTCATTCATTTGTTGCTCAGTTTTATATCCCACATATAATTAAAATTATATGGTTCTTGACTTTTCTTGTCTCTGACTTAGTTTTTTTTCAGTTAGTAATCATTACAGTTTTGTAGCTAGGAATTGCTATTTCTAGGGTTGATATGTCTTAATTTAGTGAGAGTATACCTTGATAAAAATTTAATGGTATAAAAAGTGACACATTTTATTTAATATGAATTTATTTTGTTAAGTGATATTCTTTTATTTTTTTCTGTTCCATCTGTGTGCGTATTACCTATTGACTGCACAACTGCTTGCATACAATTTTTATATTACTGTCTTGTAGGCTCTGATAAAAAATAGCACTGTATATAGTTTTAATTACTAAACTCATTTGAACAATTAGAAATTAATAAACAATAAATGCATATTAGTCATATACCTGTTTATGTCACTTTACCCCATCTTGAGTTGTAAACTAATTTATTGGCTTTCTGAGAATATGGTAATTACTGTTAAAGAATATATAGACTTCATATTTAGGTACTTATAAAGTTGTATTTCATATTTTTATTTTGTGTGTGATGAATGTTATAGGATCTCTATGGAAATTATATATAATAGTAATATATTCTAACCCTCTGTAATTTTTAGTTAGAGACAGAGTTCGGACAAAGATGGAGAGAGATATACTGGTGGAAGTAAATCATCCATTTATTGTCAAATTGCATTATGGTATGTCATCTCTTTTTTTCAACTTTATTTATTTTATTTTTAGAAAGAGGGGAAGGGAGGGAGAAAGAGAGGGAGAGAAACATCAATGTGTGGTTGCCTCTCACGTGGCCCCCACTGGGGATCTGGCCTGCAACCCAGGCATGTGCCCTGACTGGGAATCAAACTAGCAACCCTTTGGTTCACAGCCCAGCACTCAATCCACTGAGCTACACCAGCCAGGGCACAATCTCTGCTCTTAAGAAATGTATAATTATACAGAATACAGATGTGTGAACAAATTGTACAAATCAAATGGAATGAGTACCATAAGAGAAACATAAATAAAGTCCAGTGAGATCTCAAAAGTGGTAGCTAGTAATGATTATTGGGAAGAGGGTAAGGATGCTATAGGGAAATGTGAAAAATAGTAAATCCTTAGTAGTGGAAACTTTAATAGATAAAGCAAGGAGGCAGCATTTTGGCTGAGCTTGAAAGAATTACTATATTTTCAATAGGTAGGGATGCAGAGTTCAGGCATAGCAGTATAACATGATGTTCAATAAAGCAAGAAAATTTAGGGTGGTAGAAGTTTCTGTGTAAAGCCAGATCCAAAGTTGATTATGTTCTGGGAAGGGTTTTATAGCTTATTTTAACAGCAGATCTAATTTTGACATAATGTTATCCAATAATAGACCATATGAGTAAATGCTGAATTGCCATATTATGTTTGGGGATACAATTCTAAACATATATCCTAATTTGAAAGTATACTAAGCTTTTTAAGACTTTAAGATTGTTCTGTTACTATATTCTGTTTTCCGACTAGCCTTTCAGACTGAAGGGAAGCTGTATTTAATACTGGATTTTCTCAGGGGAGGCGATGTCTTCACAAGATTATCCAAAGAGGTATTTGTTTGTTAATCTTTACTGTATTGTCTTAAAGCAAAGATGAAAAAATTACTTTGGTTTTTTCCTATAGAAAGTTTAAATGATAATTATTCTGTTTGTTTCATTGCATAGTATTTAGTGCATATGCCAATTAATGGCATTTTCTGTGCCTGTTATTTAGATCACCTCAGTATGCTACTCATTATTTTCTTAGGCACAAGATCAATTAAATAACTGGATGAAACATAAGAGCAAGCCTAGCTCTTTGGCTACACAAGCTACCAAAATGCCTCTGGGAGTAGTATTTAAATTATTTATGTTTAAAACAGTTTTATGGTGGTATAATTGACACACAATAAACTATGTGTATTAAAGCACACGCTTTCATAAATTTTCACCTTTGTATATACCTATGAAACCATCATCACAATCAAAATAATTAGCTTATCCATCATCCCAACAGTTTTCTTGTGCCTCATGATAAAGCTTTTCTGTTTGGTTTGTATTTTCTAGGACATCATATAAATGGAATCCTATAGTATGTATTTTTTGTCTGACTTATTTCACTCAGCATAATTATTTTGAGATTCATCCATGTTGTTACATGTACCAATAGTTTATTCATTTTTATTCCTTAGTAATATTCCAGTGTATGGATACATTACGACTTGTTTATTCATTCAAGTGTTAAGCAATATTTGACTTGTTTGCAGTTTTTGGATATTACTAATAAAGCTGCTACAAATAGTCACATACAAATGATTGTATGGACATATGTTTTCATTTTTATGGTTAAATATCTAGAGTATAATGACTAGGTTATATATATTTAAATTTTTTTTTATCATTCAAGTACAGTTGTCTCCATTTTCCCAGCACCACTCTTCCCTGCCCCACCCACCCCCATCTCCCACCCTTAATCCTACTCCCCTTTTGGCTTTGTCCATGGGTCCTTTATACATGTTCCTTGATGACCCTTCCCCTATATTTATATATAAATAAATTTGTAAATATATGTATGTGTATAAATATATTTTCATAGTTTACATTAGGTTTTATTCTTGGTGTTATACGTTCTGTGGGTTTGGAAGGATGTTTAATGACGTGTATCTATCATTATAGCATCATATAGAGTAGTTTCACTGTCCTAAATATCTTCCACGTTCTACTTATTCATCCGTCTTTCTTCCCAATCATGAGTGGGTTATATAGTAGATGTATGTTTTAACTTATTTTAAAGACACTGGTAAACTGATTTCCAAAGTGGTTATATAATTTTTACATTCCTACAAGCAGCATTATGATCCTCAGTTCCTCCACATCCTTGCCAGCATTTGGTGTGGTCAGTCTTGTTTTAATTATGGCCATCTCATAAGTACGTGCCAGTACCTTGTGGTTTTGAATTTTATTACCCTAAAGATGAACGACGTTGAGCATCTCTCTGTGCACGTATTTGACATCTGTGTATCCTCTTTGATAAAAAGGCCGTTTAAGTCTTTGGCCCATTTTTTATTGGTTTGTTTCTTACTAAGTTTTGAGTCTTCATATATTTTGGGTGGTAACTCCTTCATCATATATGTTGTTTGCCAATATCTTCCTCTGGTCCATGGTTTGTCTTTTTATGCTCTTTAACAGTGTCTTTCTGAAAGCAGAAGTTCTTAATTTTGATGAAGTCTGATTTATGGGGTTTTTTTTTAAACTTTAATACAAATATACATGTAGGAAAATGTGAATGTCCTCCTTATCCCCTAATTCACTTTCATTCCCACTTCCTGGACTTTTCCTGCTTTACAGTTTGTTGTTGTTGTTATTGTTGTTGTTGTTGTTGTTGTTCCTGCTTTACAGTTTGTTGTTGTTGTTGTTGTTGACACTGTTACAGATGTCCCCTGTTTTCCTCCCTTTTGTCCAATTCCACCGAGCCTCCACTCCCCTCCTCTGGCCTTCACCACACTATTGTCTGTGTTCAAGGGCTATGAATATATGTTTTTTTAATGAATTATGTTTTGATGTCCTGTTTAGAGAATACTTGCCTAATACCGCATCACAAAGGTTTTCTCCTCTTTTACAGTTTTAGGTTTTACATTTCAGTTTACATACCATTTGAATTCATTTTTGTATTGGTGATATGTATGTGTTGTAGCTGAAGTGCTTTTTTATACAAGGTGGAACAAAAGTAGGTTTACAGTTACTTGTGTGGAAAATAACAATAATTAATAAATAACAATACAACAACAAACTTTGTTTTGCATACTTACAACAGTAAACTTACTTTCGCCCACCATGTATATAGATATTCATTGTTCTACCATCATCTTTGCAAAAAACTGTGCTTTCTTCACTGAATTACCTTGCATTTTTGTTGAAAATCAATTGACTGAAATATGAAGGTATACGAGGTCTGTCCAGAAGGTATCCAGTTGTATACTATGAAAAAGAGACATTTATTAAAGAAGATACACAATACCAGAAACAGTGTACATAGGACAATGACACCTCAGTCCCCTTCAAAGTAGCAGCCCTGGCACCTCACACAGTTCTCCCAATTGCCATCAGCTGCCCTGTCGTATTTTCCTGGATCTCATCGATGGTCTGAAATCTCTTCCCTTTCAAAGGTGATTTTAGTTTTGGGAAAAGCCAGAAGTTGTAGGGGCCAAGTCTAGGCTGAAGGTGGGCTAAGTCACCTGGGTGATTTGATGTTTCACAAAAAAACTGTACATGAGAAGTGATACGTGAGTGGTACCGTTGTTGCGACGAAGCTGCCAATCACCAGTTGCTCATAGCTATGGCCTTTTGAATCATCTCAATAATTTCTGTGGAAGAATGCTCAAGCTTAACACAAATTGGATGCAGATTAGTTGTTCTGCTTGCTCAGTCATTTTGAATGCCACAGCCACACAGTACACATGCTCACTCAACGATGTCCACCACCCCCACTGACTGGTACAGTGTAGTCACCATTGTTCACACGTGCGCATTCCAGTCTGCTCTCTTTACTGCCAGGTTACAATGACGTCACACAAACCATTCTCATTATATTAACAATGGCTGAACTTTCTCTGGACAGACCTTGTATTTCTAGACACTTTACCTATTCATCTTTCTTTATGCTAATTACATATTTTTAATTAAATTTATTGGTGTGACATGGGTTAATAAATTTATGTACGTTTCAGGTGTACAGTTCTATAATATATCATTTGTGTATTGCACTGGCCGTTCACCACCCCAAGTCAGGTCTCCTTCCATCACCATTTATCCCCTCTTTACCATCTTCAACCTCCTCCTACCCCTTTCTGGCTGGTAATTACCATGCTGTTATCTGTCTATGAGTGGTTTTTTTTTTTTTTGGCTTAATCCCCTCAGCCTTTTCACCAAGCCCCCCCCAACCTCCCTCCCCTCTAACACCTATCAGTCTGTTCTCCACCTCTGAGTCTGTTTCTATTTTGTTAGTTTATTTTATTAGAGTCCACATATAAATGAAATCATCTGGTACTTGCCCTTTTCTGACAGGCTCATTTCACTTAGCTTTATGCTCTTTAGGTCCATCCATGCTGGACCTAAAATTTCCTTCTTTTTATGGTCAAGTAGTACTCCATTTTGTAAATGTACCACAGTTGTTTTATCCACTCATCTACTGATGGACACTTGGGCTGCTTTCAAATCTTGGCTATTATAAATTACACTGCACTGAACATAGGCATGCATGTTCAAATTAATATTTCAGGTTTCTTCAGATATATTCATGAAGTAGAATCTCTGGGATGTAAGGCAATTCAATTTTTAATTTTTTGAGATAACTCCATACTGGTTTTTGTAGAGGCTGCACCGGTCTGCATTCCCACCAATAGTGCACTAGGGTTCCCTTTTTTCCACATCCTCTCCAGCACTTGTTTATTTATTGATGGTGGCTATTCTGACAGGTGTGAGATGATATATCATTGTGGTTTTAATATGCATTTCTCCGATGATTAATGACGTTGAGCATTGTTTTATATGTCTATGGGCCCATCTGTATGTCCTCTTTGGGGAAGTGTCTGCTCAGGTCCTTTGTAGATATTTTAATTCGATTCTTTGTTTTCTTGGTGTTGAGTTGTATATGTTTTTAAATATATTTTGGAAATTAATTTCCTATCAGGTGTATCATTGGCAAATATGTTCTCCCATTTAGTGGGTTTTCTTTTAATTTTGTTAATGGTTTCCTTTGCTGTGCAAAAACTTTTTGGTTTGATGTAGTCCCATTTCTGTATTTTTCCTTTTGTTTCCATTGACTGAGAAAATCATAACAAATATATCTTCCAGAAATGTCTGAGATTTTGCTACCTGTTTTCTTCTAGGACTTTTATGGTTTTCAGTCTAACATTTCAGTCTTCAATCCATTTTGAGTTTATACTGTGTATGGTGTAAGAAGGTGGTTTAGTTTCAATTTTTTTTGCAAGAATCTGTCCAATTTTCCCAACCCCATTTATTGAATAGACTATCTTTACCCCATTGTATGTTTTTGTCTCTTTTCTAAAATATTAATTGACCGTAAAGGTGTGGTTTATTTCTGGTCTCTCTATTCTGTTCCTTTGATCTATATCTCCGTTTCAATGCCAGTACCGTGCTGTTTTGATTACTATAGCCTTGTAGTGCAGTTAATAGCAGGTAGCATGATTTTTCCAACCTCATTTTTCTTTCTCAAGATTGCTGTGGCTATTCCGGCTCTTTTGTGGTTCCATATCAATTTTTGGAAGATCTTATCTAGTTATGTGAAATAAACCATCGGTATCTTGATAGGAATTATGTTGAATCTCTCGGTTGCTTTCAGTTCTATGGACATTCTTAAGATGCATATTAATCCTTTCTATAAATGCGGTATATGCTTCCACTTATTTGTATCTACTTCAGTATCTTTCTTCAGTGTCTTACAATTTTGTGAGTATGGGTATTTTACATCCTTGTTTTAATCATTTCCTAGGTATTTTATTTTTTGATGCAATTGTAAATGGGATTGTTTTCTTAATTTCTCTTTCTGACAGTTCATTATTGGTGTATTAAAAAAACCAACTGATTTCTGGATACTTATTTTATATCGTGTTACTTAATAGAATTCATTTTTTATCCATTCTGGTAGTTCCTTGGAGGAATCTTTAGGGTTCTCTATGCACAATGTCATGTCATATGCAAATTATGTCTCACCCCTCTCTGCACTGCTGCTTGAAACAAAGTCTTTCCAGGTAGCAAGCTAGCACAGATGTAGGGCTTATCTCGTTTGTTTCCCATCTGTTAGTATTCACTGTCCTTTTGTTGCCTGATGTTTAATGTCTTGAAAAGTGTCATTTCATATATTTTGTCCTGTTCTTTACTGGTTTCAGGTGGGAAAGTAAAGCCTGTCCTTGTCTCCTTCATTTTGTTTTCAAGTGGTAGTTTGTGGGTAGCACTTTAAATTGGGTGAATGTGGTTCAACATCTCACTTGCAGAATTAAACTGTTGAGTGTGGGGGAGCTACTGTTGATTCCCAGAACTTTGGAATTGCTGTTTTAAAAGAAGTGTGCTTCTGGGATGCTACCCAGTGTTAAGTGGCTAAGATCTCTGGTTTATATATGTCTCCCTCTAGTGCAGACCATGCCATGCATGCACATAGACTGTGATCTTGGTATATTGTTTACTATAGAACAGAATTCAGTTTGTGGTAGTGTCTGTCTAGGGCCCCCTTCCAAGGAGGGTCTTTAAAGGACCTTGTTAAAAGCTGGTCCCAAGACATAGAGGGACAAACAGTTATAACAAGGCTCCAGTATTCATGAACTCTTTAGTTAGAGTGTAGAACTTTCAATAATGTGTTTGAGAATCCTTGTAGTCATTTCTAATTTTCTTTTAAACTCTTCAGACCTCCATTCTCGATGTGGGACTATCTAAACCCATACTAGCACAGAGATGCAGTCAGTAAGTTTTGATTCCTAAGTCTGGAATATTAGGTAAGAGCAAGCATTTTAAATGCATTTCCCAAAAGACAATAAATTAGTATATTCATTGAACAGGCTTTGAAAAATGATTTAATGGTTACCTCTATAGACAGCTTATTAATAAGTTGTTTATTGGTTATACTTCACTTGTGTATTCAGACAACTGTTATATCATCCAAAATAAGGACTTATTATTTATGCCTTAGAAAAAGATTTTTAAAAATTACATGTTTTACATGTTAAAGGATTTTATAATGTGCCTCATGTGTATTTTAGAGTGAACAGTATCTCCTTAAATTTCTCTTGTCCAAAATACACATGCACACAAACACACGAAAGTCTTAGGTTATGCCCTACTTTGCTAATATAAAGAAAATGTATTGGGATAAGTGACTGATGATGGTAATGTTGCCAATTCTTTACTTTATAGGCTTAAGAAATTCCAAACAGATTCCCAATAGGAATTTTTATTTGTTTGAAATTGACAGAATGATTTTGCCGCCTTTTCTGGAGAAGTCAACAAATTAAAAGAACTAAGACATTTTAAAAATAAAGAATACTCTTTTCTTGCTCTGCCTTTTGTTTTAAACTTTATAAACCTACTGTTATAAGCAAATCATAGTATCAACAGAAGAGTAGACACATACTGTATAGCCCAGGAATATTCTGGTATATATGACTTACCATATGTTATTAAGCTAGAGAAAGAATCAGAAGTTAATGGCAAAGAGATTGATTGTTCAGTAAACATGTGCATGAAAAATTGGTTCAATATTACAGAAATATCATTCTATTTATTTACTTTTACTTTATTTTTGTTGACACTATTACACACAAAAAATCATTTTAAATAGTCATCTGTACCCAAAGATAAAATTGACTTTTGTTAAAATACTAAGTCTGGGGAAATAATTATCCTAAAAGCAAATGTAGCTGAATATATAGTAAACCATTGAATGGAGGTCTTTTTAATCATTAAAGTAATGAAGGAAATTACAGAGAAATGATATATAACTGACTACATAAAATTGTGAATTATTGAACATCAAAAACCATCACAAATTTGGGGAAAATACTAACAAATAATATATAATGGAGAACTGACATTTTTAGTATTTAAAAGCCTTGCACTAATTGGAAAAACATTTAATTCAATACTAGAAGATATGTAAAAACATTACTGATAATTCATTAAAACAATAATCCACTAGTGTGAAGAAAATGTGTAGCCTAAAAATAAAAATGTAAATTAAAACAATTGATGCCATTTTTAAAATTCACATTTGAAAAGATTTTAAAAAGGGCAATCTTCAGTGCTATTGTGGATGTGGTAAGAAAAATGCTTTTATAAGCTGCTAATGGGAGTGGGAATTATTGTAACCTTTTTGGAAAATAATTTTGTTTTATTTATCAAGAATCTTGGACAATTTAGTCTCTTTGACCCAGCATTTCTTGTTTTATTTCTCAGGAACCCATACTGGAGACATAATCATAAATATAAATGCATGTTGAATAATTGAATGCATAAATGCATATTGAAAAATATGTGTGCATATTGAATATTTATCTAAAATAATAAAAAACTGAATATAACCTAAATATAGGTAAATTATGGTAAATCAGTATGTTGATATTATAACACTATTGAAACTTCTTTATAAGTTTTAAAGATATGGGACAATGCTTATAATATAATAAGTAGGGGGAAAGGAGTACTAAAAACCATTGGTGTGTATATGTATATATGCATATGTATATATCCATATATATGTACATATATAGTTTGATCTCAAATGTGTTAAAACACATATACTCATACACACATGTATACATACATACATACATGATTTGGGGATAAGACAGCAAAAGAATAGCAGTGCTTATCCCAAGGTACTAGGGTTTTAGGTTAATTTCATTTTTAGGGTCATTTATGATAGAATGATTATTGAATAGGAAAAAATTAATGGTGATGAACCTAAAACTTAAAAAAAAGTTGTGACATAACATATGGTAGAAGCCGCTTATGGGGAAGAGGTAGTTCTTAGGGAGAAGTATTTCTGAGTTCAAATCCTGGGCCTGCTCTTTTATTCTGGGCAAATTAGTTTCATCACTGAATGTAAAGTGATGATGATACTTATCTCATAGCATTGTTTGGAGGACTGTAATAACCTAATAAATGTAAAGTGACTGGCACATAACTTCTACTTAGTAAGTTTCTTATATACATGCATCATGAGGCTTTCCACAGAGACACCTTTATGACAAGATAATATGCTTGCCATAAACTGCAACCTAGGCATAGTTTCTTTAATTTAGAGTTTGAAAGATTTTTGCTTAGATTTTTCTTATGTGTTAGGTTTCAATGAACATTTTATTAGCCTTCCTCAGAAGTTAAATAAGTAACAAATATTTTTATTCTTAATAAAATATCAAGTGAAAATGATGTTCTCATACTTTTAGCATTATATTAAATGAGCTCTCTTGAAACTTAGATAATGAACAGTCATTTTATTTAAATCATTTTTAAAAATAGAGTATCAAAATTTATATTTCACTGCTCCTCCTCTGCAAATTTACTAGTAACCCGAGTCTGCATCGTGTAATTCAGTGACCATAACACTAAATGGGCAAGTCAGTTATAAAATCTTTATGATATTTCACTCAAGTTTTACCCTTTCCTAATAATCTGCAAATTTCTTGAATGAAAATAACCAATTTCTAGACAAGTTATTTGTTTTGCCAATTGGACGCCTTTGATAACTTTAAAAATTACATCTAATGGTTGAGTAGTGCTAAATTTTGTGTGTACATTAACACTTAGGAAAGAATATAGACATAAATCTGTAATAATACCTCATGGTTGCACACATAGCATTTTACAATGTGTGAAGTTTTTTCCCACATAAACTACTTTGACACCATAACCTTCTTAGACAGATATAGCAGACATTACTCTTGTTTATCAGCTTTAGAAACTGAAGGCCAGTGGCCTAAGTGACATGTCAAACATTTATTAATTCTGGTTCCAAGTCTAGTTGCTCTTTTCACTTCATCATAGCCGCTGTATTCTCAGGCACAAAAGACTGAGGAATACATTACCTTTAAACTCATCTAATTTACTAGCAGAAGAGGCCTGGAGCCACCCCCGAGGTCAGAGATTTGCTTTATGACTGTGTTTAATATGAGTTGCTAATCGAATGCCTTGTGTTGGTATACTAGAAGCTTTGACTCAATAGAGCTGCTCAGAGATATTTCTGAGACGTAATAGACAGTGAAAGAAAAAATTGTAGAAATAGCAGAATTGCCAGTGCTAAACCACAATATCCTATATGCTTCAAAGATCTTGCAGGTATCACTGTACTGTAGTAGCATACTAAAATAACAATCATATTATGCCATTATGCCATGAAGAGAAAGAGTAAATCCTGTGCAGTGTTTTCAGTGTAAGAAGATATACAAACTACATAATATGTTTTACGAAGTTTAACATTAAAATGGTTAATATTGAAGAGAAGGATTTTTAAAGGGGTTAATTTCATCTATCTACTCATATTTTCTTTTTTGTTAGATTTGTCTGTTGGTTTGTAAAGAAGTAAGTTTTTAAAAATTCAACATTGAAAAAACAATCAAATGGTAAATTATTATTTTATTTTAGGTTCTGTTTACAGAGGAAGACGTGAAATTCTACCTTGCAGAACTAGCCCTTGCTTTGGATCATCTGCACCGATTAGGAATTGTGTATAGAGACCTGAAGCCTGAAAAGTACAGTTATATTCTTGTATATCTCCCTCTTACCAGTGTTATATAAAACCTTTTTTCTCCGTTAAGTCTTTTATTTTAAAGATTATATGAAAATATATGTGAATTTTATAATCACATGAAACTTATAAAGTTAATCTTCACAAGATACTCATTGCTTTGAAATTTATTTTTTAGTATTTCAGATAAATACTGACCTATTTTAACGTTGTGATGGTTTTTATGTAATATTTGATATAAACTATTTTATTCCATCTTATTGAATGTGAATTTTGATTTACAGCATTCTGCTTGATGAAATAGGACATATCAAGTTAACAGGTATGCAAATTTTCGTATTCTACTCTAAGTTTGTTTTATATTTTTCATTATTTTATTATATATTTATCTAAGCCTGTTTTCTTTTTTCCTCTTTTTTGATTTAATTTGCATTTTGTTGATCTCTTTTGTGAACTAAATTTCATTGAAAAGATAAGATAGCTTTCAGTATGTCCTAATTATATCAAAAATTGTACAATAAAGTTGCTGTCCTAATTCAGAAGTGACATTTGGCTTTCTAAGTAAAAACACATCATCTTAGTTTTAGTCTAGACTGAAATATTATCGTTAGTAGTTATCACATTTGAAATACAGTGAATTGTTGACTTTTACACCAAGTGTTTACAATCAAAGGTTCATTTTCTTCTTTATTTGCAAAATCCTGTTTTATTTTACTTTACTTTTAATATTGAGCATTTATATACTGTGCTAGTTTTCATAGGTCTCTTATGCATTCATACAGAGGAAGACGTGAATAAGGATAGAGGAAGGTTAATGCTTTTCATTTTTTTAACTAAATCATACCTGTTTGTCAGTTATGAGGAAGGAAGGTACAAAGAGAGTAGAATAACTCATATACCTGTATCTCTCTTCTACAGTAAGGTTAAGTGGGTGAATTCTGCTTTTACAGCTTTTAGACTTAAACTAGATGAGGAGGAAAGAGTAGTTAGAATCAGTGTTAATTTATAAGCAAGGGACACAAGGCTTGTAACAGGAAGAAAATGTAATATATATATTTTTATTGAATTTATTGGGGTAACACTGATTGAGAAAACCATACAGGTTTCAAGTATATAAATCAGCAAAACATCATCTGCACACTGCGTTGTGTGCTCTTTGCCAAAAGCAAAATCTCTTTTTGTCCCCATTTCCTCCACATTTGCCCACCTCCACCGACCCCCACCTCCACTTTCACCCTGGCTATGACCACACTGTTGAGTGCATTGCATAATTCCATCATTTTTTTAATCCCAGTTTCCCAGTTCCCCTCCCCCCTGAGAGCTGTCACTCTGTTCTATGTGTCCATGCCTCTGTTTCTGTTTTGTTCATCAGTTTATTTGGTTCAATAGATTCCACATGGGTGAAATCATATTTGTTTTTCTCTGACTGGCTTATTTCACTTAGCTTAATAATCTCCAGGTCTACCCATGCTGTCAGAAAAGGTAAGATTTCATTCTTCTTTACATCCAAGTAGTATTCCATTGTGTGAATGTTTCACAGCTTTCTTATCTACTCATCTACTTATGGGCACTTGAACTATTTCCAGATCTTGGCTATGATAACACTGCAGTGAACTAGGGGCGCATATATTCTTTTGAATTAGTGTTTGGGCTTTATTTGGATATATTCCCAGAAGTGAAATCTCTGGGTCAAAAGGCAGTTCCAACTGGGGCCTGGTGGCTTAGGTGGTTGGAGAGTCATCCCATACACTAAAAGGTTGTGGGTTTGATTCCCAGTGAGGCCACATTTCTAGGCTGTTGGTTGGATCTCAGGTCTGGGAGAGTATGGGAGGCGACCAACTCTCTCTCTCTCTCTCTCTCTCTCTCTCTCTCTCTCTCTCTCTCTCTCATCAATAAACATATCCTTGGGTGAGGATTTAAAAAAAAAGGCAGTTCCAATTTTTTCTGATAGAACTCTGTACTGTTTTCCTCAGTGGCTATATCAGTCTCCATTCCCACTAACAGCGCACAAAGATTCTATTTCTCCACATCTTCGCCAGCACTTATTGTCTGTTGATTTATTGGTGGTAGGCATTCTGACAGGTGTGAGGTGATATCTCATTTTTCATTGTGGTTTTAATCACGTCTCCCTAATGATTAGTGACATTGAGCATTTTTTCATATGTCCATTGTCCATCTGTATCTCATCTTTGGAAAAGTGTCTATTTAGACCTATTGCCCATTTTCAAATTGGATTTTTTCCCCTTTAGTGTTGAGTTTTATAAGTTCTTTATATATTTTGTATATTACCTCTCTGTCAGATGTATTGCTGGCAAATATGTTCTCCCATGCAGTGGATTCCCTTTTTGTTTTGTTGATGGTTTCTTTTGCTGTGCGAAAGATTTTTAGTTTGATGTATTACCTTTTGTTTATTTTTTCTTTTGTTTTGCTGGTCTGAGCAGATATATTGGCAAAAATATTGCTACAAGAAATGTCTGAGATTATACTGCTTATGTTTCCTCCAGGATTTTTATAGTTTCGCAGGTTACATTTAAGTCTTTAATCCATTTAGAGTTTATTCTTTGTATCCTGCTACTTAACTCAATTTATTTATCAGTTCTAGTAGTCTTTCGGTGGGATTTTCAGGGTTCTCTATAAATAGTATCATGTCATCTGCAAATAATGACTGTTTTACTTGTTCCTTTCCAGTTTGGATGCCTTTTTTCCCCTTGTCTGATTGCTGTGGCTAGGACTTCCAATACTATGTTGAATAAGAGTGATGCAAGCAGACATCCATGTCTTCTTCCCTATCTTAAAAGAAACATTTTTAGTTTTTGCTCATTAAGTATGATGATAACTGTAGGTTTGTTATATATGGCCTTTATTACATTGAGGTTTGTTTCCTCTATTCCCACTTTGCAGAGAATTTTTATCATATATTGGTGCTAGGTTTTAGCAAATGCTTTTTCTGCATCTATTGATAAGGTCATGTAAATTTTATTCTTAATTTTGTTTGTGTATGGCATTTATTGATTACTGAAAATTGTAACAACCTTGCATCCCCAGAATAAATCCCACTTGATCATGACATATTATGTTTTTAGTGTATTGCTGGATCTGGTTTGCTAATATTTTGCTAAGGATTTTAGCATACATGTTCATCAGGGATATTGACCTATAATTTTCTTTGTAGTAGCTTTATGTGATTTTGGAATTAGCATAATGCTAGCCTCATACAATGAGCTTGGAAGTCTTCCTTCCTCTTGAATTTTTTGGAATGTTTGTAAAATTCACCTGTGAAGCCATCTGATCTACGACTTTTATTTCCTGGGTTTTTTTTTAAATTTTGATTACTGCTTCAGTCATTAGTTGTAATTGGTCTATTCAGATTTTTTGGATTATCCTGATTCAGTTTTGGAAGATTGTATATTTCTACGAATTTGTCCATCTGGCCCATTGCGGGTGGTACTGGCCTAGCCCGTAGGCTGGGGGCAAGCTCCATGCCTCCTCCCCCTCCCTAGCCATGCCCACTTGAGCACCAGACTGGAGCCTCTGAGGGAGAAGTGCTACAAATGTCCCAGTCTTACCAGCCATTCCTCTGGCTCCACCCTGGGGGAACTGAGTCAGCAGGGTGTGGCCACCAGGACTTGGGAAGATAGGACAAAACAAACCTGCTGTGGGGGGTGAAGACTGGTCCCCATTCCAAAGCCTCACAGTTCAATGTCTGTCTCAGTCCATAGTTTCTCCAGAGAAGGAGTACACCAGAGGTTCCTCTTGGGTGCAGCCACTGGTCTTTTCTGCTGCACTCAAACCCAGCAGGGTGCTATCACCAGTATTTAGAGGATTGGGTTGCTGCACTCCCCAGGCTGGTGCTGTGAAAACAGGATTGTTTGGCCCTGGAAAGGTGGCACCTAAGGGTGGTATGTGATAGGGACTCAGAACAGGGACCTCAGTAGCTGACCCTCCAGATTTCTGTTCGGAGCCGTGCCACCCAGATATTCTCCTTAAGAGCCCTGTGTGCCCCGAGTTGTCTTCCCTCTGCCAGAGCCCTGGGTGAGTTTTCCAGAGTGTGTGTCAGCCTTTTAGGAGGGCACCTGGGATGTTAGCAGACTCCCTCCTCTTCCCAGCAGACAGAATCCCTGCTGATTTTCAGTGCCAGATGCTATGCAGGCTCCACATCCCGGCCCTGGTGCTCTGGGGTGTAGTTCCCGGCATGGGGTTGAGACCTCATGCTCCTCAGGGGATTTTGCTGCCCAGCTATCCCTCCCGCTCCTCAGCTGCCACATGTGGGTGCAGGGGCCAGCCCTTTCTGTGTCTCTGTGAGGCTTCTTCTGTGATTCCTTGGGTATAATACTCCTGCTCAGCTGTCCTTCCGTTGGTCATTCAGGTTCATTGCTCTATAATTCACCCGTAAATATAGTTTGGTGCTGGGAGGACCTGAGTGTAGTTTCCACCAGGTCTGCAGTCATCTTGAGAAATGTATATACATATATATTCATTCTTTAAAATGACTCCAATAATAAATACATAGATAATTTACACTGTTTTATTACCATAACCTGATTCAGGGTTTTGTAATGAATAATAAACTTACAGATATAACATCTAAACAGTCCAATATGATTGGTTAACGTGTGACCATTCACAGCAGGTATTTTAAAAATACTTTTAACTTTCCATTCTTCAATTTTCCATTCTTTCTTCCTGTCTTTCTCTTTCCCTCTTCTTTTTTCCTTTCTTCCTTTCTGTGTCTTTTTTCCCTCCTTCATTCCTTCTTTCTCTATCTCATTCTTCCTTCTATCTTAAATACTACAGTCAAAAGTACTAGATTAATTACTATTTGTCATTTTTAGCAGTGGGCTGTAGTGATATAGGAATGTCCCATCTGGGCATGGTCTTCACCCTCATTCTGTGTTTCCCCATAATAATCTTAGGAGAGGGCAATACCTTTATTTTTATAAGTCCACTTTAAAATTACTCCAGACGCAAGAATGAACATAAACTTTAATAGGTTGCTCTGAATGGCAGTGGACTATAGAAAGGTGCCTTGGTATGACTGTGCTTTGACCTTGATTTACCTCATTACTGAGATTATGATTGTATAGCAGAAGATCAGTAGAATGAGAGTGTATACCCCCAAAATATCTGCATATTTGCTAGTGTAGTATTTATATCATCTTTATGTCTTTTCTGTAGCACCCACCACTAGTCTGTTTAAAAACTATTTAATATGACTTCCTCAGTTTATAAAAAATGTTTACTCATAATTTGCCATTAAAATTATGTATTGAATACACAATTGATTTTAACTTTCTGTGGTTGCAGTTGTTTGTTTCCTGAGGGGCATAATAACTTGGGGGTAACTTCTATCAAGAGAGGAAATAAATACATACAGTGTCAGAAATTTAAATCACACTGCACTTCAGCTAAATATTTAAGGGACAAACGTGTACATAAGAAAATAATTTTAAGTAATTTTATGATTATCTGCAAATTAATTACTGAGATTACTTTTAGTAATAGCAAATACTCATTAAATTGTTGTGTTCTGGGCATGCTTTTAAAATTTTAAAGCCTCATAAAAGAGTTATTTATGGTTACACAAATATACTGTCCCCAACCCTCCCAAAAAGCTTTATATACCCGATTTCTACATTTTCTTTTCATTTCAAATTAGTGACTTGGAAAAACCACTGATTAACATATATGTCTTTTTAAATCCTGTAGCTAATCCTTAATGTAAAATAAATGTTCAGTTCATTACTGAGCCAATTCTAGTGTTAAATATCATTTTGTCAGAAATAGTACAGCAAAGGACCTCTACAAAGTGTCATAAATTTCAGAAAACTAATTGTGGATAAGAAAATTCTCTTCCCTTTCTTCTTGTCACTGGAATGTCAAAGATGCCAACGTTCTTCTCTACAAGGTTGTTATATTCAGCTGAACTGACCTTGAAGAACTGCTTTTATTACATTTACTTTTGAAATGGGATATGCAGCAGGGTGGAGGGGAATGGTGGGGGGAAAATGGAAAAAACTTTACTTGAAAAAACAATAAAAAAAGAACATAGTAAGGCATTGAAAATATTTTTTAAATATGCTAAAAATCATAATACATTGTTATTATACAAGGATAAGAGATTTTGAAATTAAAATATTGAGCATGATGAGAAAATCAGTTTCTGTGGTCTCTAAATTGAAGTATTAATGTTGATAGTTTATTTAAAATAATACAGGGTTTATAGCTTTCCTTATTTATAGAATTAGGGTAAAATTTATATAGAGTAAAAATTATCCTTTAGATCTTTATGGTACTGGATTTATTCTGTATCTTGACAGCATTGTTGTCAATACTATGATTGTGATGTTGTCATATGGTTTTTGTAAGATGTCGTCATGGGGGAAACTGGGTGAGGGGTAAACAGCATCTGTGTAGTACTTCATATAACTGCAGTAAGTTTTTAATAGTCTGAATATATAGGGTTTAATTTAAGAAAAATTACTCTTTCACGTATAGTTTGTTTTACAACCTTGGACAAATGCATACAGTCTTAAAACTACCACCAATATGAAGATATAAAAGTTCTATCACACCCCACCCCAAATTTTCCCACCGTAAGTCAATCCTCCCTTTATCCATAGACAACCAGTAATTTGCTCTCTGGCCCTATAGTTCTGCTTTTTCCACATGTAATATAGACTTAAAGTACATATATAGTCTTTTTGAGTCTGGCTTCATTTATTTAGGATAGTACATTTGATATTCATCTATATTATTGTGTGTACCAATGTTTGTTATTTTAATTGCTGAGTAATATTTTGTTTTATAATGGTACCATAATTTATTTACCTAGTCCCCAATTAAGGGACATTTGGGTTGTTTCCTGTTTAATTCAGAAGTGAAGAATAAAGCCACCATAAATACTCATGTACAGGTTTTATATGAACATAAACTTTTATTTCACTTGAGTAAATACCAAAGGAGTGGGATTGCTTGGTCATGTGATAAGTGCATGTTTCACTTAATGAGAAAAGTCCAAAATGTCTTCTAATGTGGCTGTGCCATTTTGTATACCCACGAGCAATGTATGAGAGCTCTGTTTGCCCTGCACCCTCACCATTATTGGTACTGGCCGCATTTTTATTTTAGCTCTACTAATGGACATATAGTATCTCATTGTGGTTTTAATTTGCATTTCCCTTAGTAGCTAATGACATTGAGCATCTTTTCATGTATTTATTTCTTTGGAGAAGTGTCTGTTCAGATCTTTCTCCCATTTAAAAAAATTGTATTGTTTGTTTTCTTATTATTCAATTATGAGTGTTTGTTTATGTTAGTGGAAAAATTTAATTTCAAAAATTGACATTACATAGTTGCAAAAGAAAAAAAACAGTTATAAATAAATCTAACAAAACTTGGGCTAGAAAAATATTTATTTATTTATTTTTGTTGTTGTTCAGTTACAATTGTCCTGCCTTTTCCCCATTGCTCATCCCACCCTGACTCTCACAGTCCACTCCCACAGTGTCCCTCTATTCCTGTTCCTTCACTTTTACTCTGAATATAAGTCCTTTATCAGATATCTGATCTGCAAATATTCTCTTTCAGACTATAGCCTCCTTTTCATTTTCTCAATGGTATCTTTTGAAAAGAAATTTTTGATTTTGATAAAGTTCAGTTACCAACACTTCTATTTTAGAGATTGTAGTTTTGATGTTATATCTAAGAAATCCTTGCCAAATCCAAAGTCACAAATATAGTCTCTTGTATTTCTTTGGCAATTTTACAATTTTAGGTTTTACATTTTATATTTAGTTCTATGATTCATATTGATGTAATGTTTATAGTATAGATATAGATTTTTATGTCAATATCCTGTTCTGGAACCATTTGTTAAAATGACTGACCTTTCTTCATGGAATTGCTTTTAGGTCTTCATCAGAAATCAATTGACAATATATAGCCAGTTCTATTATAATATAACACATCTGATCTTAAAAATCATTGCATTATGCAGTATTGCATAATAAAAAGCATGGGACTTATGTTGAATATGGGTTAGGAGTTTAGTAGTAACTATATAACCATTGACACATTAGAGCAAGATAAGGAAACTGATAAAAATGGTATCATTGTTTTACATACTCTAAATTATTAAGAGTATATAAATACTGCAATAAATATGGTGCCTCACCTTGAAAAATTCTTAAATTTGCATGTAGAATTACTGTCAGAAAGGTTGCAGTTTTTAAGTTATTGTGAAGAGGTGGAAAGTAGATTATTTGGAGTTGGGAGGAAAGTATAACACTACAGGTGGACAAGAGTGTCTCATAACCCACATGATGAGTTGAAATCATTCGTAGATGTTTAAGGTGTGTGAATGTATGAATTTCTACTGGGCTTGGTTCAGCTAAGTGCAGTTTTCTGGTATTTCATCTAGTGCTTCTTACAGACAAATTGAACATAACCCAACATAAAATTTAATATTCAAATTCATGTTATCCTCAAGTTGTTTCCTAGTGTATCAATTGCATTAGAAAAATTTGTGTTTTCAAAACAAACATTATAGCAGAATTGACTGTATATGCCAGTCTATTCTTGGAGACTGTCCATTTATTTGTGTATATATGTCTACCTTTTCTTCAATACCACATTCTCTTGATTACTGTAAGTTTATAATAAGTATTGAAGTCAGGTAGTATAAGTCCTTCAATTATTTTCTTCTTTTTCTAAATTGTTTTGGGTATTATATTGCTTTTGTCTTTTTACATAAATTTAATTTATTTTATTCAGCTTATTCATTTCTATAAAAACTTGCTGGGGATTTTATTAAAGTTTAACTGAATCTTTAGATCAGTTTGGGGGGAATTGACACCTTTAACACCAAATTTTCCAAACCATACACAGTGTGTCTTTCCATTTACTAAGGTCTACTTTAATTTCTTTCATCAGTGTTCCTAGTTTTCAGCATATAGGTCTTCCATATACTTTGTATATTTATACTTATAAATTTCAAGGGTAATTTTGGTGTTATTATAAATGGTACTTTTAAATTTCAATTTCTAAATTTTCATTGCTAGTATATAAAATAAGATTAATTTTTATATATTCACAACTTTAGCTTTTTGAAGGCCTTAAACAAAAGTGGAAACTCACCAAAGCTAAATCAAAACAAGGTTTTTCAATATTTTTAAAAGTATAAGTTACTATCTCTTTTGTTTTAGTATATTTTAAAACCTTAGACCTCTATGACCACTTTGATTTAATTGTTGACTCAAAATTGTTGAATGTTACTCTAGTGTAGACATGAAAACATATTTTCAGATGAGATTTAACTGAGCAATCTTTAAATGCTCTTAAAGAATATCATTATTAAATACAAGCTATTTTCTATTGGTATCACAGCTTTCTTAACAGGAATTGTAGACCATCCATGAATAATTTTAAGGTTTGAATACACAATTTTGTTTCTTTTGGTATTTTCTGTTTTCTGAAGATCTTCAGATATATTTTTATGTAAATTGTTATTATAGATTTTGGACTCAGCAAGGAATCAGTAGATCAAGAAAAGAAGGCCTACTCGTTTTGTGGTACAGTGGAGTATATGGCTCCTGAAGTAGTAAATAGGAGAGGTCATTCCCAGAGTGCTGATTGGTGGTCATATGGTGTGCTTATGGTAAGTAGTGTTATTTTAAAAATATATACTAATATAAAATCAGTAGTACTTAGAAATTTTAATTTAAATTTGAGGAGGTGTCAGGTGAGGATAGGATTTCAGTAATTCATGATTATTATCTTAAAACTTGTGTTTGGCTAGCTGTTTACAGTAAGAATTAGGATTTTGGTGTTCTCATTTATTTTAAAGTTACCAGATAAGAAGGCAAATGGCAGCTTTCCTTTGAAACCATAAAGTGCCTAGAAGAAAAACAGGCAGTAAACTCTTTGACATTGGTCTTAGCAATATTTTGGGGGGAGAAATGTCTTCCAGGCAAGAGCAACAAAAGCAAACATAATCAAATGGGACTATAGCAAACTAAAAAAAACTTTTACACACCAAGGGAAACCATCAGTTAGATGAAAAGACAACTTAATGGGAGAAAATATTTGCAAATGATATGTATTATCAGGGGGTTATATCCACAATATATAAAGAACTGATACAAGGCAACATAAAAAAATCTGATTAAAAGATGAGCAGATGAGCAGAAATATCTATTTATAGATATGTCTCCAAAGAAGATATGCAGATCCCAGTAGATGCATGACAATATTCTCAACACCACTAATCATCAGAGATATGCAAATCAAACCCACAATGAGATATCACCTCACATCTGCCAGAATGGCTATTATCAAAAAGTCAACAAACAACAAGTGTTGGAGAGGTTGTAGAGAAAAGGGAACCCTCCTGTGCTGTTGGTGGGATTTTAAATTGGTGCAATCTCTGTGGAAAACAGTATAAAGTAACCTCAAAAAATTACAAATGGATCTGCCATACAACCCAGCAATTCCATTTCTGGGTATTTATCCAAAGAAAATGAAAACGCTAATTTGAAAAGATATATGCACCTCTGTGTTCATCTCATTATTATTTATAATAGCCAAGATATGGAAGCAACTTAGGTATCCACTAATAGATGAATGCATAAAAAAGATGTGGTACATTGAAACAATGGCATATTACTTGGCCATAAATAAGAATGAAATCTCACCATTTGAGACAATATGGATGGATCTAGAGACTGTTTGGCTTAGTGAAATAAGGCAGAGAAACACAGATTTTGAATGATTTCATTTTCATTTGGAATCTAAACAAATAATACAAACAAATCAAAACAGATACAGACTCATGGAGAACGAACTGATGGACTGATGGCTGCCTCAGGAGGTTGGTGGGGGATGGGTGAAAAGGGTAAAGGAGATTAAGACATACAAACTTTTAGTTATAAAATAAGTCACAAGCATCTTATAACATGTACAGCATAAGGAATATAGTCAATAGCATTAGAATAATTTTATAGTGACATGGCTCCTTGTAAGATACATAAATGTTTTATTATTATGTGATACTCCTGAAGCTTTTTAATATTGTATTTCAACTGTAAAAACAATAGAAAAAGGTCTACCAGGTTTTAGTAGTTATATAGTATTTTAATTAATTATCATAGAATTTAACACCTTACCATATATTGCCGTATTGTCAAATTGTTTCAAGCATGTCTGTAGTAAGATTTTCAACCTCTTGAGGAGAGCAGTTATATGTCACGCTACCCTTTGTCTCCTTGTACCTACTGTAGTTGGCATATTGACCAACTAATCTGGTAAAAGATTAAGCATACAAGTTGTGGTGTTAATTGGGATAATAAATGAATAGCTATTGAATTAGATAGAATTTGCTTTTGAAGTCTGATCATCCATTTTGCCTATTTATCACTGGATGACACTTAATATGCTACACATCAGTATTTTAAGTGCCTTTTATAAGACCGCCATTTGGGGAAGGCAGTGGAGTGGGAACTGACTAGAAGTACAATATTTGGCATTTTCTGTGATCTAAGAAGTCATGCAGTCTGGTTGAGGAAACAATTGGGATAGCTAAGTAAACTGACTGGAAGTACCTTAGACATTTAGGCTAAAATTAAATATAAGCTGATGTACAAAACATGGAGGAGGGACCTCAAAATCAGCTCTGAAAGATGGATAAAATTTAAATAGCTGTGTAAAGAAGGATAATATTGTGATCATATCAGCAAGGACCTGGAGAATAAGCTGACTAGAATAGTAGTGAAGAATGAGGGTGATGGTGGAGGAAATGGGGCTATAAATCTTAAGCATTTGCATGCAATTTTCTGAGTAACAGGAAACTTTTGCAGATTCTTAAACAGGATGGTAGTTATAGGAAAAAATGTTTTTTGGGGGGAGATTAGCCTTGACAGAATTATATAAATAGATTGTAAGTGGAGGAAACTAGAAGTAGAAAGGTCAACAAGGTCTCCTTACAGAACAGTTGTAAAATTATAGAATATAGAAGAGAAAATCTTAAAGACATTTCAAAGGTTTGGGGGTGGGAGATTGGAGCTTGAGAGAGATGATTCCCACACATCATAATGCCTTTCTTTTTCCCTCTTCTTTGACTCTCATAGCTACCCCTTCAGTCTCCAGTTGTGAACCATTAGTATCAATTTGGTAGGGAAAACTGGGGCTTGAGAGAGATTGAGGCCGAATCAGATTTGAGAGTCATCAGGATATAGGAAAGAGTTGAATGGATAAGCTGATAACTAAGGTTGTGAGTTCACAAATGAATAGAGAACTGAGGCCAAAGCCATTATTGAATCTAAGTTTAAGGTTTTAATATTGATATAAAAATTTTTAATGTACTATGATGATCATTTTTATACCTGGTCTTTTTTATACCATTAATTAACATTCTAATCATTTGCATTGCAATTAAATCTTTTAGGGAAAATGTTTTCCTCATGATGTGTACAACTGTCTCAATTTTTTCTTTTTAAAGAAGTTATTGGTGAGTGTGTGTTGTATGTATGTGTGTGTGACCTCTCCTTTTTGGTTCCTATTTTTAGAGGAGTGAGGGGAATGAGAATGGTTAAATCTTTCTTGATAATTTATAAATTTGAAATTGTTTAATGCTTATTTTTAGTTTCCTTTGTTGGTTAAATTGTTTGCTTTAAGAGCATATCTTTGCAAAGAAAATGCCTTGTGTCTATTTCCAAATTTCTTTGGTAACTTAACCAAATCCAACAGTACTGAAAACACTTGGCTGGTTTAATTTCCTAGTGGTCACCTATCAGTTGAGTTATATATAGTGGGGTACCAGAAGTGTATTTCCTTAAGTGACCAAGTCTTTTGCTCCTATTTTGTCATACTGTCATGTGCAATAGATTCTGTGTGATTTGATGATCACGTATTACAAGTTTCAATTTTTTCCTAAAGAATTTCATTGTATATTCTAAGTTGTGCTAAATTGATTATGTTATCTTTTCGCTTGTTTGTTTCAGTTTGAAATGCTTACTGGTACTCTGCCATTTCAAGGTAAAGACAGAAATGAGACCATGAATATGATATTAAAGTAAGTGTAAACATAATTTTTTTCTTTTGGGAACATTTTTTGCTTTCAGTTTTGAGAAATTTGTTGTGGGTTTAAATTCATACAAAAGAACATTTATACACTGTCTTTCATTTTCTTTTCCTATCATATGGGGGACATTATTTACCAATGTGAAAGCATTCTGTAATGTTCTTTTGGAGATTTGTAAATTAAGAATTGTGGCTAGATTTAAATGCAATTTTCTAAAATCATCTTTTCCAGAGCAAAACTTGGAATGCCTCAGTTTCTTAGTGCTGAAGCACAAAGTCTGCTAAGGATGTTATTCAAAAGGAATCCAGCAAATAGATTGGGTATTGTTTATTTTCTTAGCTTTTGTAATAATACACTGCATGCTTTGAGAGGGTAATTATAACTTTATGTATTCTGGCTTAAGCTCTTTATTGCCACTATACATTTACACCTATAACTTTGTATTTTGTATATGCAGAGATTCCAGTAAGTTCTGTTATGTCTATGATTAAAAATGGAGCGATCTATCTATTCAGTACTTCTATTTAATATACATCATTATGTATAGCATGTGGATTTCCTCTTTTGAAATAATTCACAGAATGGTACAGGTAATCCTTTTAGATATTTGAAGATAATTTATTTTCTCCTCCCAAAGTACTTCAAGGTATATACTATATTTTCATAACTGCATGTTATTTGGCCACTTTCAGGTAATCCTATTATCTATCCAATTTATGTCCTTATGTTAAAATTTCAGTCACTTTATTATGTTGTACTTTTTAATTTGGCATGTAAATATGAAGTTATAAATTCATTATGAAGAAAAGAACATTTATTTACATTTTGATGTCATATCAAACATGATTTAGATTTGCTTTGGAAGGTATTTTAGTATTTCATGGTATTCTATGTGCTTAATGTGTATATCATTTATTTCTTCATATTAAATTGAAAGAGCCAATTAATAAAATATCAAATGAGAAATCATAAACCTTACATTACAAAGAATGTATAAAATATGTGTACTCCTCTTTATACATAACAGCCTGAAAGCCACATATAAAGATTTAAGAAAGTCACACCAGTACAAATGTCTTTCTGTTTTTATAGGTTCAGAAGGAGTTGAGGAAATCAAAAGACATAATTTTTTTGCAAATGTTGACTGGAATGTAAGTTCAGTAGAAAGTTTCTTATCGAGTAATTTTAATATGATTCAAAAGTGAAGAGTAAATGGTAATATATGGACTTTGCTGATAAATTCATTTGTTTTGCTAGCATGAGAATTTTTTATTGGGGTAACATTGGTTAATAGTATAAGTTTCAGGCATGCAGCATTATAATTAGATATCTATATACACTATAGCATGCTCACTATCAAAAGTGTAGTTTTTACCTGTCACCGTATATGTGATCATCTTTACCCATTTCACTCTCCCCCCACTTTCCTTCTCTTCTGGTAACCAGCCATCTGTTGTCTGTATCTATGAGCTTTTTTTTCTTTTGTTTGTTCATTTGTTTCTTTTTTCTGTTTTATATTTCACATATGAGTGAAACCATATGGTTTTATCCTTTCACACCTGACTGATTTCAGTTAGTATAACACCCTCAGGATCCATCTGTGTTGTTGCAAATTCATTCAGACATTTTCTGGGTCAAGGTAACTACCATAGTATGCTACACCTGTAAATAAAAATACCTTGAACCACTAAATGTGTGGATGATATGTACTAAGTTTTTGTTTCTCATTTGTTTTACCTGTTAAGTATGGTTAATATTCTCCCGTGTTCCCGGTTGGAGAATGTGGAGGAGGAGAATGTGAAAGGGGAAAAGGGATGAATGATAGCACAGATTATTATACAAAATGAATTCTGTAGAATTTAAGATGTTATTTAATTTCAAGTGGTTCTTCGTCAAGTATTAGAAAAATTAAATTTCGTAAGGACTGAATATCTTACTACAGGTATTTCACTAAATTTTGAGAAGATGTGAAAACAGAAACATTGTGAAACTCTGCTAGGTCTGTGTGTGTGTGTGTGTGTGTGTGTGTGTGTGTGTATTTATATATATATATGTTGCAATTCCTAGGCTAGTAAGCTTTTCTTAGACAAACCCATTTTTGTTATCTGTTTGGCAACACAGCTTTAGCTATTGTATGTACTATCAATCATATGTACTATCAGGTACAGTGTTTTTGATTTTCTAGTTCTGGTATCGGTATTGAACATTTTTTCAAAAGAAAATGTCTTGAATTCTGGGGCAGAGGTAGAGAGCCACTATTTGCTGATCAAATCACTATTTAATCTGGTTTATAGAACACATTTTAGAAGGCAGTATTTTGATTCATTTTTTGTAAATCATTAATGTTAATACCCTAAAAGGCCACTCAGTTCACATGGTACACGGCAGTTCCCTTCACCATATTTGTGTGCACAGCTCTTTCGGTGTCCTTGTATACATGTGTCATTTTTTAGTAATGCTTCTATACTCTTCCTTTCCCCTAACCTGGACAAACTAGAAATTTTTATTTTCTATCATTCTTATATCTAAAGAATTTATGTTCATTGCTCATAATTTAAATAAACAATGGAATGTTTATATAAAAATAAATTAAACATACTTTGATTTTCTATTAATTTTCCCCTACTATGGGTCTGTTAGCATTTAAAAAATGTAGAGTTACCCAAAAAGGTAGATGTTCATATACTGCAAGATTTTATGTCTTTCATAAACATAAATTTTAAGAAGTTAGATTGTTAGTCAAGATTAAGTTTTTGATTTCTATAATAAGACCTTTAATGCCCATTTTTATGGGAAAACAAAATATTTTAGGTGAAATACTAGGTCTGTCCAGAAGGTGTCCAGCCATGTACTATGAAAAATAGAGACATTTACTGAAGAAAATACAAGATACAAGAAACATTGTCCATAGGACAATCACGCCTCAGTCCCCTTCAAAGTAGGCACCTTGGGACCTCACACAGTTCTCCCAATCACCATCAGCTGCCCTGTTGTATTTTCCTGAATCTCATCTACAGTCTGAAATCTCTTCCCCTTCAAAGGTGATTTTAGTTTTAGGAAAAGCCAGAAGTCACAGGGCACCAAATCCGGGCTGTGGGGGGCTGAGTCACCTGGGTGATTTCATGTTTTGCCAGAAGCTCTGCTTGAGATGTGATGTATGAGTGGGTGTGTTGTCATGGTGAAGCTGGCAATCACCATTTGCCCATAGCCTCGGCCTTTGAATCATCTGAATAGTTTCCATGCAGGAATATTCAAGCTCAGTGCAAAATTTGATGCAGATTTTGTTGCTCTACTCATTCAGTCATTTTGAATATGACAGCCACACAGTACACATGCTCCCTCAAGGGTGTATAATGCCCCCACTGACTAGTACAGTGAAGTCATCATTGTTCATGCTTGTGCATTCTAGTCCACTCTCTTTGGCTTCCAGGTTACATTGATTTCACACAAACCGTTCTCATTATATTAACAATAGCTGGACATTTTCTAGACAGATCTTATATATAGTTATTACAGATAGTCTAATTATTACTGTCAGAATCATTCAGTGTTGTTAGTTATTTCTCCATAGTAACAATGTGACATATTCTGTACAGTGTTTTACCAGCAAAAATTCAAAACAGTTTTTGATATCCAAAACTCAGTACCATTATTCTTAGTAAATGCAATGTGTGGCATCAGTACTTGTTTGTAATCTCACTTGATTTTGTTCATTCTCTCTCAAGTATTTGGAATTTGGTTAACAGGTATCTGAATCTTATTGAAATTTCATTTATGAAATTGTGATTTTTCTGTTCAGGACTGTACTATGTTTTGCTTTCCCTTAAGAAGTATAATAATTTTTTAAAGATTTCATTTATTTTATTTTTAGACAAGGGTAAGGGAGGGAGAAAGAGAGGGAGAGAAACGGCAAAATGTGGTTGCCTCTCGCGCATCCCCTCCTGGGGACCTGGCCTGCAACCCAGGTGTTTGACCCAGCTGGGAATGGAACTGGCGACCCTGTGATTTGCAGGCCGGTGCTCAATACACTGAGCCACGCTAACCAGGGCGAGTATGGTAATTTTAAGTGTTAATATGTTTTTGTGTTGTCCTGTTGTTCCTAGAAATTATATAAAAGAGAAGTTCAACCTCCTTTCAAACCTGCTTCTGGAAAGCCAGATGATACTTTCTGTTTTGACCCAGAATTTACTGCAAAAACACCTAAAGGTAATGCACGTTTATGGGTAACATCAGAGCTTTTATTCAGTTTCATGGGTGTCAAACTCATTTTCACTGAGGGCCACATCACTTCGCTCTTTATGGAAATGTGGATTCTACGTACACCTTTGCTTGGGTAACATTCAACTACAAGCTTTAAATGGGGAATGTTTATCAGAGAAGCAGGGACTAGAGCAAAGGGTCAAATGTTTTGTTTTAAAGGTCTTTTGATATGCTAATTAATGTATTCAATAGTAAGGGTGGCAAGGCATGAGATGTATTATTCTGACTCTTAGGTTTACTTTTAATAGAATCTGTTTCATACACTAGCTCAACAAATACTGAGTACCTATAATACACTCCCTAGTGAGGATGCAGCAGTGAACAGAATAAACAAAAATTTCAGTCCACATGGAACTTGCATAGTAGTGTGGGGAGACAAATAACATACAATAAATCAAATAAGTGATATAGTGTGTCTGATGATAACATTTAATGGTTTCATTTATATTCAAAGAAATGTCACCATTTTATATCATATAAGTTTTTATAATTCTAATTACATATAATTATTTGGACATTAGATTCTCCTGGTTTGCCAGCCAGTGCTAATGCTCATCAACTCTTCAAAGGATTCAGCTTTGTTGCAACATCTATTGCAGAAGAATATAAAATTACTCCTATCACAAGTGCAAATGTATTACCAATTGTTCAGGTAAATTTTACTTAGATTACTTGTTTAGGGATAATTATATATTTTGGTTAGTTTTAATGGATTTATAACAATTTTACATGATTTTTAACTTCATTTATTTCTGTGTATGAGGCCAGAGGGGACCCCCCAAAAAGGAATTTACTTTTAAACATCTGCGTACTTATTCTCACATGTTTAAAGTTCAGTCACCTTCCAAGTCCTCTCCATTTGATGCAGTACACCTATCGAGACCTTTTTTCCACTGCTCCAAACAGTTTTTCAACTCATTGATCTTGATACCTTTTAGTGCTTCTGGCTTTTTTGGTTTTACCTCTATCGAATCAGCAGAATGTTTCCCTTTGAGGACTTTTTTCATCAGGGGAGGGGGACAAAAAAAGTCACTTGGAGCGACATAAGGTGAATAGGGCAGCTGGCGCACAGAGGTCCTGCCATTTTTTGGTCAAAAACAGCTGGACACTCAGAGCAGTGTGGGCTGGTGCGCTCATAAATCACGCATCATGAGACGGACAAATGTGTTAAAAGAGTCTTCAAAAAAATTCACTGAAGCCAAACACAGCCTCTTACAACAATGCCATCTGGTCCACTGATACAGATGGATTCTAGAACATTCACCTAGCGGGGAAACCTGTACTACAGGGGACCCACCCTACAGAAGATAATTCCGGTTTTTGGGGGGTCCCCCTTCATATCATAATGAATTAAAGATGTTCCAATATGTTTTAAAATAAGTCAGATGGTAGTAACCTTTAATTATATTTATGTAATCTCTTTTGACAAGGAAATGTAATGGTGATATGTAAATGGTGATTTATTGTGTTGACTTTGGGGATCTAGAAAGCCTACAATTTAGGATCAGCTCAGAGCTGGTTAATCCCTTGATATATACTGATAAAACTTTTCTAGAATGGATTATTCATGATTTTTTAAAGATTTAAGATGAATACAGGGTGGGACAAAAGAAGGTTTACAGTTGTAAGTACACAAAACACAGTTTATTCTTGTATTATTATTTATTGATTGTTGTATTATTTCCCATATGAACAACTGTAAACCTACTTTTGTCCATCCATGTAAATATTTAGGAGAAAAGATAAAAATGTGAAAGTATTTCATTATTCTTAGTATTTTACTTTGAAAAAAACAGATAAATGGAAATGCTGCGCAATTTGATGAAGTATATGAATTGAAAGAAGATATAGGTGTTGGCTCATATTCTGTTTGCAAGCGATGCATACATACGGTGACCAACATGGAGTTTGCAGTGAAGGTATTGTCCCTGAACATGACTGTTTTTGTCTTATTTATGTGAGTTAAATGACAAGTTAACTGACAGACATTTTCCAGTGGAGCCTGTGGAGAATTGCAAAGATAAGATAATGACAAAGAACTATTAAAACCTAATATTTTCATTTTCAATTTTTTCTAAGGCTCCAATTTGGGGAAACCATGTATTTTGAGAATGTCTTGATTCTGAATAGTTTTATTTTAATGTAGTATGTTAAGGTTGAGTAATTGTGACAATCACTGTTAACATGTGGATCACATTATGAGTTAGTATAGCTTCAATTAAATGGAATATAATGTTGAAGAAAGTGGTCTTTTTATTATTGTTTTAGTTATAGGACATTTCTAAATGTTAAAATAACATGAGACAAGCATCACTCTTGGGTTTTAAGCATTTACTTAAAAATATAATCAGATTGAAACTAATATCATTAATTTTTAGGCAAAGAAAATTTCTTTTTATCTAAACCTTTTTTTGCCTTATTTCTTAGATCATTGACAAAAATAAGAGAGATCCCTCGGAGGAAATTGAAATTTTGATGCGATATGGACAGCACCCCAACATTATCACTTTAAAGGATGTAGGTATTTAAAATCTAAGCTATTTCAAGAGCTGAGCTAATGAAGCTATAATTTGGCACTTTATTTTCTTTGACTTTCATGTCTATGGAATATTTACTGTCATCCAACAAAATCTGAAGATTCTTAAATTTGCTACTTTAATTCTTCCCCTTCCCGTTATTCTGTATTCCTACCTTCCTTATAGAACATCAGAAAGGAACTATGTTGTCAGTAAATGAGAGTGCCCTGATTACATGAATATAGTTAACATTATAACCAGCACCATTTATCATTCTGTGGTACTATAAATATAGACACTGGGAACCTACGAAACTCTAGATTTTACTTTCTTGACTGTGCAGAAATGGGCTGTTACATTGTGGATCGTTTTTTGTTTGTTTTTGTTTTTGTTTTTTTGCGTAAAACAGTAATACTCTATAGTTTTATAAAGTGAACATATAACTTGTATTTAGAGATATTACAGAGTTTATGCTCCCTGGTTGGTGCCCAGGGTCTTTGGGGTGGTGGCTGACACAGCGCTAATCATACCATGGCTTGGGTCCCAACCTCACCACAACCTCTAGAGAGACAAGGGTCCTCACAGCCTTTTTAGTGCGGAAGCTCAGGCTGCAGGCAGTTTCGTGGCAGCGAAACAAAACCTCTGGAATGAATGGACTCTTCCCAAGCAACTTGGCTAATTTGTAGCATTTGGACAATGTTCCTCATTAATATCTCTCTGTGAATGTAATCATCACATCATTTCGCTGTAGTGGCAGGGATTCAGCTCTGAAATCTATATAGAAAAAGTACCTTGGATCCCAGTCTTTCAGTGGCTTCGAGACTATCAGAAGTGCCTGACGGAGGAAGGAGAGGCCAGTGTGTCCTGTCCTTCCATGATCCTGTCATTGGCCATGGACAGTATGGACAATGTCTCTGTGGTGAAGGCTAAAGCCACTCATGTCATCATGAATTCTGTCATCACAAAGCAAACACAGGAGAGTATTTAGCATTTTGAGCAACAGGTAGGGCTGGGAGATACTGGCTACACACCCTGCAATGGCCTTACCACCAAGGAGACCAAGTACCTTTGAGTGGCAGAAACACTCCACAAATTAAAACCACAGAGCAGAGAGATAATGAGAAGAGATACAGCTGGCCTTAGCTCAGTCCTCCTTCAACAGCCCATGCTTTTCCTCTAAGCAGAAGCCTAGAGGCTGTTTCTCTTCTGGCTCTTCCACAGCCTTACCTGGCCTACACCTTAGCACCATGGATTCTGGAAGCAGGGATAAAGACAGAACTCAGCAGATAAATGGGGCCTCTTTGTACCAAGAGCCCTCTGGAAGTCTGATTCAGGAGGTTTTGCCACCCAAGCCCTAGAAACCTTCTCCAATGGAGCTGATCTGCACACAGGTCACCCAGATGGCAGAAGATCCAGCAGCCTTCAAGTTGCCAAAGATGGATATCCCAGTGATCACAGGGAAGAAACAACCATCATAGACCCATTGTCTCAAACCCTGTGTCTTGGTTGTGCTCACACCCACCAGCTTCTAGAGCTTTCTCTTTCCATGACTCTGGATAGAGGGTAACATGCACCCACCTCCCTATTACCCTGTCTCTGACATAGCAAGTTTTTTTGGGGGGGTTGTTTAACCCCTTAAACTGAGGCTAGAACTGGAGACATAATTGGTTTTTGAGAAACATTAGTATAAAGCCTGTCCTTGTGTTTAAGAAGGCATTGTGTGTTGCTTTAATATAAAGTTAGACTAAATAATCTCAGCAGTGATGTGTGGGGGCCTCATCACCTGTGTTTACATCATTTGACCTAGACAAGAACCTGATCATCTCCTCTTAGGTGGATGATGTTTGTGTTGTTCCTTTAGCACGGTCAGTGCGTGCATGGACAAGCTGTGACAGAGAGGCACTCACTGACTAGTCTCTGCCATCTGGACTGCTGGGCTGTGTGCTCCAACCTTGTGGTGATGGGACCTACGTTCCATTTTGATCTGGGCACAAAGAAAAGGCAGACTTGGCAATGGCCCTCCTGTGTGGAGACCGGAGCCCTCGCTATCGGGCAGAGCCAATTCTTATTATTATTTTCTTTTTTTACATTATTTTATTGTATTTTTCCATTACCATTTATCCCCCCCATACCTCTTACACCTCCACTCATCCCCCTCTACTCCCCCTCCCCCCCGCTGCAGTCACCACACTGTCGTTCAGGTCCAGGAGTTTTTTCTCCTTTTTTGCTCAATCCTTCTACCCCGCCCCCCACCCCCAGAGCTGTCAGCCTGCTCTGTGCTCTTACTGCAGTGCCTCTGGGGCAGTTCTGCTGGGCAGTGTTTCTTTTTCATGTGTCAACAAACGCAAGTCTTGCATATCCTTATCCTGTTGCACTTTCAAGTGAGATTAAGTTAAGTCTAATTTGGTGGAAAGCCCTGGAAGGGAGAAAACTCAGCCTACTGCTTTGGTATATAGAAATGAATGTTAAGCTTTTTTAAAGTAAAGATGGTCGTAACTGTACATAGATCATAGTCTGGACGTTCATGTGAAGCAAGTGTCACCAGGGCCTGAAACTATTTCTGAGAGGTGGAAGGATGGAAAACTTTTCTACATGTCATCCTTTCCCTCCAAATGAGCCTCGTACCTGTGTAAACACAGAGCTTCCTGAGGAAAGGAACCCGGGAAAGCACCTGTTCGTTTCTGCTCGCTGTGGACAGGTTTGGTCATTATCCTGAACACTGTCTCAAATCCCTGCTGCTCTTATTTGGAAGGATCATGTCTGCATAGCTAGCTGGGCCGACCTTTCCATAGACAGTCCCCAAAGTCTTGAATGATAAGAAAAAGTAATTTATTTGTGCCTTCTGTTATGTTCGAATATCTTGTTTTGACAAAAATCTCCTTTAAAAAAACAGTTGTTACTGAATGCTGACTTTTCACATAACAAAATAATGTTCTTTTCTCTTTAGAGAAGGCTGGTACACCAGCCATCACCTCAATCAGTTTGTTTTGGATAATATGATAAAGCTTTTGATTAGTAACCTTTAAACAGTAGCTTACAGCCCTCTATTTATTTATCTAATGTAATCTACCTCAGAGGTCCTAAGTGAAAGTGTACACGTTTTTCCTATTTATTCTCTTTGATATAGTGTTTGAATTCAACAAACATTTAAGATACCATGTCAGGTAATGGACTGTGGGGAGGATATTAAAAAACTAATAATGTATTTACTGCCAGATGGAAGCATGCTATTAGTACGGAAGAGAAGTGTCTACAATACGATCCAAAATGAGATAGATGCCATTTGAGAGGCACAGAGTTCTGTTTTTCCATTTATATCCTTTGATGAAGTATAATATACAGCCTGAAAAGTTAATCAAATTATGTTGAGCATGGTGTCACAGGACTGTATAAGAGGTTGTTTAGCCACTTTAATCCTCAGTACAGCCTGTACTATATTAGCAGTAAAGAAATAATGTATTTTTTACCATTAAAGGTTCACTAGAAAAGCAAATGTAATCTACACATTTCTGAATTGTAATTATAAATAATAACATTTTTAAAATGTGTTCTTTTTTAGGTTTATGATGATGGTAGATATGTTTACCTTGTTACGGATTTGATGAAAGGAGGAGAGCTGCTCGACCGTATTCTCAAACAAAAATGTTTCTCAGAACGGGAAGCCAGTGATGTGCTGTTTGTAATAACTAAGACAGTTGACTATCTTCATTGCCAAGGAGTAAGTTGTGGTTATATTCTTCCCTTCAATTCTGGGACTTATATATTCATAAAATAATATGTAAGTGCTGCCACTTAAAATGAATGACTTTTTCTGTAACATATTTTATAGAAAATATTCTAATAAAACTCATAAAGTAGAGAAGGTTTCAGATTTAGGAAATCAGAAAATGCTTTCTTAATTCTCTTCACTCTGCCTATTGGCCCTAATTTAATAGCAGATTGGTTTTAAAAGTGATTTGGATTATATAAATGTATGTAACCCTGGCTTTCAAATTATTAAACATAATCAAATTTAAAAATGAAACATAAAAAATTATTCAAGGACATGTGGGTATTATTCAAGTTATTCTATACCTAACATAACCTTCTGGGAGGAAGTGGACTATGTATCTTGATCCTTGCCAACCCCTCCTCCAAATACAGTAAGAAATTTGGATTCTAAACCTTTGAGGTATTACTCTAATCAAATGTGTAATAATGGAGCAAGCCTGTTATTTTGCTTCTCATCTGTTCATAAATAAAGGAAACATTACCAAAAAGGTCAACTTTTATTATATACACCTCCACAAGGAAACAAAGTCATAAATAATTCAAAAATGTAAGTTTGAATTAGTTGTAATAGTGGACATGTATGCATGTACGTATAAACAGTAAAATAATGGACAACTCAGAACTGGCACAGTGAAAATTCTACATGGTTCCTTTTTATACAAAAGATAAATAAGCCAGTACTCAGTTTTGTGTTTGTTTTAATAGAGTACATTTTTAGTACTATAAAATATAAACTGTTTAATAATAAAGGAGTAAATCTTTTATAATTTAATTGCTTGTTTTTATCAATTAAGCCAAAGTAAAATAAAGGATAGCCAGAAATTTTAAGAGGAAACTGATAACCATCTTTTCTTTTTTATGTATGTTTATTTTTATTCATTTATTTTTAATTACACTTATTGAGGTGACGTTGGTTAATAAGATCATATGGTTTCAAGCGTACATTTCTATAATACATGATCTGTATATTGCAAGGGGGCCAAATATGTGGTGGTGGAAGATGATCTGACTTTGAGTGGTGGGCACACTAAGCATCTTTTCTTCAGGTTATTATTTTAGAAACCTTCCAGTTCTTATATCAATTAAGTAAATTAATGACAGAGCTATACTGAGCGTTTCTATATAATAGGCATTATAAACAGTGTTGCAGATTCAAATGTAAATAAGACTAGGTCCTCGTCTTTAAAGATCTTTCAGTGTAGTAAACTGATTAAGGAATGAAATAGATAGTAATCAGTAGGAAAATCCTCGTGTAGAGAATTTCACCACAATGGAGTGCCATATGCACTGCACTAATCCTAACCTAAAAGCCATTCATATAGCTCCCTGTATTCCGTCCTTCAACCAAGTATTCACTCCCCACCAGAGTCTCTGTGCATCTGTTTACTCCCCAGTACCTTGAGGTAGTTGATTTTTTAAATTATGTACAGGTTTTGTAATTGTTTACTGTGAGGAGGGGCATGTTAAATAGGGTCTTAGTCCATTAGATCCAGAAGTGGAAATGAGAACTGAGTTTTGATACTTGGAGATTGGAAGTTGTTAATGAAACTGGTGGCTTCAATAGAAAGTAGAGCATCTATCTGATAGAGATTATGCCTTCTGATTCCTTCAGGCTTTCAACACTGTAAAGGTTGGACAAAGTATCATTGTCAAAATTTTATGATTAAGAAAGTTTGTTTACCTGGAAGAATATTAAATGAAAATATTGTATTCCACAGAGATTTACTTAGCTATAGAAATACAATGCTGTTTATTTTATGTTCCAGGTTGTTCATCGTGATCTTAAACCTAGTAATATTTTATACATGGATGAATCAGCTAGTGCAGACTCCATTAGGATCTGTGATTTTGGATTTGCAAAACAGCTTCGAGGAGAAAATGGACTTCTCTTAACTCCATGCTACACAGCAAACTTTGTAGCACCAGAGGTATTTTTCAAAACTTCAGTTTTTGCTTTTCAGTCTTTTTTCTTTAGTTGAATGTATTTGATGGCATGTATATGCTATAGTGGGTAGATAAAATCTGTGTTATCTTGTCCATTCTCAACTCTAAAGCTCTTTAAATGAGTGAATTTTGATAACCCCTAATATAAATATTCAGACTAGGAGGTAGCATATGAGACCATCTTGAGTCTAATAATCAGACTTTTATTTTATTAGGTGACATACAAGTTTTAGAATCATATCCTTTTAGAGCTGGGAGAGTAGAGATAACTCTACCTTCGACATATGAGAACAGAATGCTGAGTGAATGCTGAGAACCCAGCATTCACTTAGTACCAAAGCCAGGATAGATTTTCAGATATTTTGGTTTGTGCTGAACATGAGGTAGTTTATATTGTTTAGTATTATACGTAATATATCAAGGCAGTGCTCTCGCTGATTGTTTTGAGGAACTTCCAGTTCCTGGAGAGAACAGCTTCATGGGGGTTTTATAAGCAGTCAGTTTTTTCTTGGCAAATAGCATTCATACACAGATCTTGAAGGGAAGAGTCAGGAAAGGTGAGGCTGGGGAGGTTCTGATCATGAGGAGTTTTGACAGTACCAACTGTCACAGCGATTGAAAGTATGGTTGATAAAAGAATGAATCAAGGATGGCATTGCTTATATAGATTCTTTTTAAGGTTTGTTTGTAAGTCAGAAACGGTTCTCATGTGTTATTAGTAATGCTAACTCATATGAATCATTATATGTTCAACACAAACCAAAATACCAAAAAAATCCTCACATTTGAAGAGTTAAAATTTCCAAGTCACAGGAGAAGAATAAAATATTTTGAGGATGAATTCTGACCTCATGTGCATGTTTTCTGATTTTATTTTTATATCAAATTCTAGCCATTGTAGGATAATATAGCACATCAGATTACCATGAGCCATTTGCATTTATATGTCAACAAATATTTATTTTAATGTAGCTGTTTGAAAAAGAAATAATACTTCTAATAATGAAAATAGGAATGTAGAAAATAGAACAGTAAGTTTCTGAATAAAATTGTCCAATTTAAAATTTGTTAAATCTTTAAGATGTTGATGCTGAGGAAGAAACGTAACACCTGCTTTACAGGATTTTTAGAACAGATTTGCCCTATGAGAAATTATGTACATATCCAGAAAATGAGCTTTAATCTGTATTTTAATTCAGTTCACAGAATAATGAATATACAAATTTTTATCAAACTAAAATATGTAGAAACTATATTTCCCCAAATACAAATTGGAACACATGCATGATCCAAAAAGGGATTATTGTATTTACCCCTAGTGAAAGAGATATAACTTAGACATTAAAAAATTAGCCTTTCTCGGGCATTTCAGTGGTTTCATATAGGACAAGAGGACAGAATATTTTATATTAGGGCTCTTCTGTTAAATATAGGATATATAGTCATCATAAATATTCTAGCATGTTATGTGGTAGGTATAACAGAAGAATAAAGAATAACCATTTTAATAGCCAAATTCTTAATACTGACTTAATCTTATGGACCTGGACCCATGGGTGTGATGAAAATATCTCATTGGGAAAAGGTTAGGAGTGAACATGTTCCAAATGAACATCTCAAAAACAGACATTAAAATGAAAAATATATGGTCTGTCTGTCTTCAGATTAATGGTTAGGTAAACATTTTTAGATTAATGGCTTGGTAAATATTTTTAAATGAGTGCAAGCCCACAGACTAGAATACAGGCCATTGATAATTTTTTATCCTAACAGACTTCCATTGTGGTAAGACACTCTTAACATTGTAACAGTGGAGTTTTTTAGGTGGGCATGTGGATACCATGTCTCTGTAACTAGTGTCTGAACTACCTTGGGCTAATATTTATATTTTCAAAATGTTTTGAGGGGGTGATCCAAGATGGTGGCAGAGAAGGTGGATGTGATATTCACCCATCCACCTTTTCCTAGGACCAAACTGGATTTACAATGAAAATATAGAGCAATCAACCTGAATAACTTATAACCAAGGGTTTACAGAAAAAGCAACGTCAAGACTTCTAGGAAGGTCAGAGAAGTAGAAAGGGCGAGCCCGACACCCATGGGTGGTGGCTGACATTCTGGAGGGATGTCACAGCTGCAGGGGATTCCCCTTGAGAAGTATGGGGTGTCAACTCCAAACCAGCCTTCCCAGCCCAAAGGCACTAGACCCGGTAAGAGGTGCCCACATAACTTCTGCTGTGAAAATCAGTGGGGATTCTGTCTGCCAGGGAGAGACAGTTGTCTGCTAGAGACACAGGCATCCTCTTAAAGGGCCAGTGCACAAATTCTCATTTGCAGCCACTCACTATGGACTCTAGTAGGGAGAGGGTGGAGCAGACTAGAGTAGCATGAGGAGAGACTGGGTTTTGTGTCTCTGGACAGAAAGCTGAAGGTATAGCCACCAGGACACCTGTGCTGAGTCACTGTCCCACTCTGCAGACACCATCTTTCTTGAGTGGAGCACTCCCCTCCATATGGCATTAGCCAGATGGAATGCAATAGCCCACCTTCTGGACTCCCTGTCACCCCACACTGCAGAGCTTGTGCCCTGCTGAGGAGTCAGCTGCCTGGGCCGGGGTGTAGAAGTCTGGGCAGCCTCAGTGGGCATCAGTGATTGAGTTGTGTAGCATGCGTTGGAGGCCATTGCCCTCAGTTTCCCATGAACTTGACCTGCAACCTCCCCTCACAGATCTGCAAGCTCCACCTTCTGGGCTACTGGCAGCCCCACCCTCCCAACTCCTGACAGACCCACCCTGCCAAACTCTGGGCAGAACCTGGGACAGACTGAGTTGTGTGGATCAGGGTCAGGGACTACTCTTTCAGTAACTGAGTTGAGCAGACAGCAAATAGGCAAAGGTTGGTAGAGGTGGATCTTGTGGTGCCTTAGGACTTTTGGTGGCATGCCCCTGTGCCTGGTGCTGGTAAAAGCTGGACTTGCTGTGTAGCTTGGTCCTTTCTGGGCAAACCTAGGCCCAGCAGAGGCAGCCACAAACCTTTGATTGCTTTGTAGCTCAAAACATGTACTGTTACCCATGGCTAGTCACAGGCAGCATTTGACATTAGACAGCACCAACCAGAATCCCTCCCAAGAGTCCCCAGAACCATCACATCCAGTGGCCAACTTCAGACAATATCAGAGCAGGATCCAATTGGCTTTACAAATGGCATATCCAAAGGGAGATCTCGGCAGGCACAAGACTCTGATGAGGTGAATTCTGATTTGTGTGGTCAGCACCTGTAAAGCAGCTCGTAAACTGAGGCACAGGTTGATCCTTACAGTCATACAGCATGACATTTAACACCATGTATGTACAGGCCAATAGAAATCAACACTGAGTGACAGCATGAGGGCCCACATACTCCACACAAGGGACATTCCTGGAGCACCCACTTCAGGTAATCAAGGAGATTGTACTACTGGGTCCCACAGATCACCTACTATATAAAATCACCCTACCAAAACTGGAAGTTATAGCAGATCTGCCTAATATACAGAGACAAACAAAGAGGCAGCCAAAATGGGGAAACAAAGAAACATATCCAAAATGAAAGAAGGGGAGCAATCTCTTAAAAAAGAGCTAAATGAAATGGAAGTAGGCAATTTACCGGATATAGAGTTCAAAAGAAATGATTATAAGGAATCTTTAGGGACTTAGTGAGAACTTTGACAAAGAATAGCAATAATAAAAAATTACATAGAACCCTTAAAAAAGAACCAGTCAGAAATGAAGAATATAATATCTGAAGTAAAGAATATACTAGAAATAATAAATAGGTTGGATAAAGCAGATGATCTAATCAGCGATTTGAAGACGAGGTAGCAGGAAACACCCAATCCGAGCAGCAAGAAGCAAAAAGAATTTTAAAATGGTGATAGTTTAAGGGACCTTTGGGACATCATGAAGTGTAACAACATCCATATTATAGGGGTAGGAAAGAAGATGAGAGAGAGCAAGGGATTTAGAACCTTAGTGAAGAAATAATGACTGAAAACTTTTCTAACCTAGTGATGGAAAAAGACACTCAAGTCCAGGAAGCACAGAGATTCCCAAACAAATTGAACCCAAAGAGACCTGTACCAAGACACATCATAATTAAAATGACAAAGGTTACAGGCAAAGAGAGAATATTAAAAGCAACAAGAGAAAGATATACCTATAAGGGAGCTCCCACGAGAATGTCAGCTAGTTTTTCAACAAAAAAAACTTCAAGCCAGAAGGTTTGGCATGAAATGTTCAAGGTGATGAAAAGCAAGGACCTACAAACAAGATGACTTTACACAGCAAGGCTATTATTTAAAATTGAAGATGAAATAAAGAGCTTTTCAGACAACAGAAAGCTAAAGGAGTTCATTTTCATCAAACCAATAATACAAGAAATGTAAAAGGGTCTTTTTTTTTTTAGAGAGAGAGAGGGGAAGGGAAGGAGAAAGACAGGGAAAGAAACATCAATGTGTTGTTGTCTCTTGAGCAGCCCCTACTGGGGAGCTGGCCCACAACCCAGGCATGTGCCCTGACTGGAAATCGAACCAGTGACCCTTTGGTTCGCAGGCCCATGCTCAATCCACTGAACTCCACCAGCCAGGGATTAAAGGGTCTTCTTTAAGAAGGAAAAGGAGCCCTGGCTGGTGTGGGTCAGTGGTTTGAGTGCCGGACTGCAAACCAAAGGGTCACCAGTTCAATTCCCAGTCAGGGCATATGCCTGGGTTGCAGGCCAGGGTCCACAGTAGTGGGCACATGAGAGGCAACCACACATTGATATTTCCTTCCCTCTCCTCTCTCCCTTCCCCTCTCTCTAAAAATAAATAAAATCTTTTTTTAAAAGGAGAAGGAAAGAGGAACATAGTTTTAAAGAATAAAATGACAATGAATTTGTGTCTATTGATAACTTTAAATGTAAATACTTGAATGCTCCAATCAAAATGGCATAGGTTAGCTGAATGGAA